GAGGGAAGTGCACGGGATTATGGTGATGGCACACGGGTGACTTGGTGATGGGAGACCCGCGGGGATTACAATTGAGATGGGGAAAAAAATGCACAAAATGATGTAAAAATAAACTTATAATAAAAAAAAATCAACTCAGAATTAATAAAATTGGCATTCCACAGTCTAGGATCCACATATTGAAGCATCTGTTTTCTGTTATGGATTCCTTGAGGATCCGGACTTGCTTGCTCAGTATGTGAGCCACCACACTGTACTCTCAATAGTTACTAAGGTTTTTTAATTAGGCTATTTGTAACTTGGGAAAAATACAAAAAGTGTTCTGAAGTATAACAAAATTCAAGAATTTTTCACTTTTGCCCCATACACATGATCAATTGCAAAGCAAAATCCACTTTCATCCAGAAAGGATAGATCTTGGGTTATGCCAGAAACATTTGATACGGACAGGGGCTATCATAACCCGTTTGGCTTGGCTATTCCATTAATCACTTCTCCCCACCACGTGTGCATGCCCATGCTCACATACAGCTTTCCAGCCTAGAAAAGACTGTTACCACGTAAGTTGTAAGCTGGGCATTATCTTTGATGTCCCTCTTTGCCTCATTACTAACATCAAGCTTTATTGTTGCAGATCACAATGGCCACTTTCATTTTTTTCCTAATACCTTTGTGCTCTTGTGTAAGATTAACTTCTATTTATTTGTCTTCTTACATAGTTGTTCACTTTTGGAGTGTTTGCTTTCTCCCCACAGATGTCGTCCCCATGCTTCTCCCATTACCACAGCACCCGTGAATCATCACCCAAGTGCCTAGTGCTCTTCCCTCCCATTTTGATCTCACTACCTCCTCTGCTATATGCCTCAGATCTCTGGTTTGCCTGCGAGTTTTGTCTTTCTTTTACCCTTTGTTCAGTTTCCCTATACCTCCTATAAGTGAAACCAGCATTTCACAATGTCCTCTTGTATGTACTCTCTTCCCCACTGTCCAATCTTATTCTGAATATCTCATTCCAAGGAGACTTTACCACTGACTGAATTAAATCTCTCCTCCTTCCAAGCCAACCTAAATTGCAAATGTGAGCAAGTAATTCTCTTTAAGCCTTTTCAATTATTATCCTCAAAAGAAAATAGAAAGTCTGTAAGCAGATTTTGTTTGGTCACCTCAGTACCCCTTCCCAATCCTTGTTCACTATCACCACTCACCATGCACAATTATTTGTTAAAGTAGTATGCTTTTTTTGTTTAAGACATATATGCATACAGGCCAGGGGTGCAGGGGGTGAGAGGATTCACCAGAGACAGAGGGGAGCAGAACAGGCAGACTGACTGAAGTACACTGCAGAGGGGAGCAGTCGGGGGGACAGGTGAGGTATGCCACATCATGTGGGTCACCTCCCTGGCTGGGGATTCAACTTTTGCTGCAGTGGCTGCAGACAGCTTCTCAGTGCTATGCTTTAACCCCTTGTGCCACCAAGAAGGGCCCACTTTTCTGAGCTCCTGTACATGTGCAGTGTTGTTTCTAATTTTCTTCCCTCTTCTGGATATCCATCCCTACTCATCTATCAGCTTAGTTTAAATTTCATTTTGGGTATCCTTATAGTCCTCTCCCCATTTATCCCATAGCACTCATCATACTGTATGATATAAACAGTCCAAAACTTTCATGCAAACCAATTTAGTGTACCTGCAATAGTGTCCAAGATGATACTCGACATCTTTAAGAAACTAACAATTTGTTCAAAACAGCACCTAAAAATGACATATTAGCTTTAGAAACCTCAACATGGATTCAGGTAATCTGTAGGTAATTTTGCTTCTTCATTCTAACCTTACTCTTCTTCTGCCCACAAACCTTATCTATAGTGAGGTAGTAGAGACTGCCATTAAAATCCTTTGTCTTCTTCCATAATTGAATCTGGCTATCCAAGTAGCAACTATTTTCCAGTGCTTCTTATTCACTCCAGTGTTGTTAGCTTTTAACGACGGTTGCCATTAATTTCGATACAGCATTAAGTTCTCTTTAAGACTGACCTTTTGTTATGATATCACCAAAAAGGCTGCATTATATTCTAAAACCTTATTGTAAACATTTGGCCAGCCTCTGATAAGATTAGCCATTTCCCTTCAGCTACACTAATGTTCTTATATAAAATCAGGCATTAAAATTCCTATTTACTTCACAAAGTATTTTATACACATCTCGACATGATTAATATTTTGATGATAAAATCCTCATACACCCAAAACAGAAATTTGGGTTAGGTAATAAGAAAGAACAATGCATGGAGACAGCAAACCTACTTTCATTCTCTCAAATGTTTAAAAACTGTAAGAGTCTACGTGTTTGTATCCAAGTTGATGAATCTATGTTGTTACAAAACTATCAAATGATAATTGGTTTATATTTCCTAAGGGTTGTTCATTATTCTCACATAACAAGACCAACTGCTAGGATCAAAAGCGTGTTAATAATATTCTAGATGGTAAATGGAGACTCTGTCTTCCCTGCAAACTGCACATCTTCAATTGACGAACTTTCTCAACTGAGTAAGACTGATTTACTCTCTGACAATGCAAGAGATTGAGAAAGTTGGGAAATACGACTATAATGAAAAAATATAAAACTATATAAAGAGTTAAGAAAATGTGATATAAGTATGTCAGTAAACAATAAGTAATTCTTTTGAGTCACATGGCGTGGACATTTTCCTAGATCAGGAGTAGAGCACCTATTAACAGCACTCCCCTGATTAAGTGAAAGGACCTCAACAATTTTAAAATTGCTCGTAAGCATAACTTGTAGATTAATATAATCCAAAGGGGAAGGAGTCATCATTTGCTCAGGTCTTGAAATTCAACTTCAAATTTTGCTATTTCATATTCCAGTTTATTTATTTAAAAGATCTATTTTTGCACAGAACTGGGGTATAAGTCAAAGATATGGTGGGGGTGAGAAGATTCACCAGAGACAAAGTGGGAGAACAAAACAGGTGTATCTACTGAAATACACTGTTGTGGGGAGCAGCAGGCAAGACATGTTGTGCCATATGGGTCAACTCCCTGGATGGGGATCAAACTCGGGCTGTAGCACAGAGATAACCACTAAATCACCAGGGAGGTCCCCAATATTCCAATTTATTTTTCTTGACCAAGGGTCAACAAGCGTTTCTATATATGGAAGGAGTAATTAACAATTATCTTAGGATTCACAAGTCTTGTCATAGCTACTCAACTCTGACATTATAGTGCAAAAGCACCCTGACATTATCAAAGCAATGAAGAGTGATCATTCCAATAAAACTTTATGAAAGGAATCCTCTTACACTGAGGTGAGAATGTAAATTGGTCTAGCCACCATAGAAAGCTATGTGGACGTTCCTCAGAACACTAAAAAATTAAGTGGCCACATGATCCAGCAATTCCACTTCAAGGATCTATCCAAAGCACAGGACACAAAAACAGTAACTCAAAAACAAAACTGCACTCCTATGTTTATTGCAGCACTATTTACAACAGCCAAGATAAATGGCTTCTTTGCCTTTTAGCTAATTCAAGTATAATACAAATGGGAAACCCAACTGCCCCAAATGGATCAAAAAGTTTAGTATGTATCATGGAATATTAATGAGATAAAAAAAGACAAACTTTGCCATTTGTGGCAACATGGAGGTGCTGGGGTTAAGCTAGTCACAATTAGTCAGAAGGAAAAATATAAATACCAGATTGTCTCACTTATGTGTGAAATATAGAGAAAGTAAACAATGTTCAAGAAGTCAGAAGTAGCAACTGACCATAGAACTGAGGCATACAGCAAAGGGAGATGGGGGGAAGGGCAAAACAAGAAAGGGATGAATACAAGGGAATAAGGTGATGGTGTACAAGTAGTATGGTAGCAGGGGACTATGGGGACTACAAGGATGTAAAGGGAAAAAATTAAGTAAAATTTTTAAAAAATTGGGACCTCCTTGGTGGCTCAAGGCATTAAGTTTCAGCACTACGAAGCAATTCATAGCATGTCACTGAAGCATGAGTTCAATCTGCTGCCAGGGAGCAATCCACATAGTGCAGCAGATCTCTCCTGTCTGCTGCTCCCCTCAGCAGTGTGCCAGTTCTCCCCACTGTCTCTGGTGGGTCCTCTCGCAAACAAACCTCACCCCCCCACCCTGCAGCTCTGGCCTATACCCCATAGGGTATGCATAAATAAATCTCCTAAGAAAAAATTTTTTACTTAAGACATTAAAAAAATGGCAGTCTTAGCTTGCTAACTTCTATCCCAGATGACTTAAGAGACTTTGGAGAAAATTGAAAAGGTAGTTAAATGCTACTAGGGGCAAAAAGTCATTAAGGGAAAGGATTTTCTTTTTATATCACTAATAAAACTAATAAAAAAAAAAACTAGTGATGTTTAACATCTGATTTTTTTTCTCTTTTCCCAAGATTTATTTTATTTATGCATACGAGAGCTGAGATGTAGGCTAGAGGTGTGTGTGTGGAGGGGGGATGTGAGAGGATTTATCAGAGACATAGTGAGGAGCAGAACAGGCAGATGTACTGAAATACACTGCCGAGGGAAGCAGCAGGCAAGACAGGAGAGGTCTGCTGCGCCATGTGGGTCAGCTCCCTGGCTGGGGATCAATCTTGTACTGCAGTGGCTATGGATAAGTTCATAGTGCTGAGATTTAACCCTTTGCTCCACCAGGGAGTCACTTAATATCTGACTTTTCTAATCTAAAAGTTTCAATGTTTAAATTTAAATATGTAAACCCTTAGTCAAATCACCAATTTGACGTATCTTAATAATGTAAAGAAAATTATATCAACTTTTAAGTAGGATTTTAAAGGGCAAATAATTACTACTTTGACAATAAGAAAACAGCAGAGAGACATTTTTTAGAAAGTACAACCCAAAAAAAATATAAGATTCAACGTCATGAGAAGAGCTTACCATTTATCATCCCCACTTGTAAAAAATATTCTAAGTTGTAAACATAGTTGGTTTTAAAGTAATGACTTTATTAATAAATATACATCCATATGATGATGTAGATACAAATCATGAACACTACTCCATTCCCATACACATAATTGCACACGAGTAGCTCAAGTTCATGGACATACAAACATACACAGTATCTATTCAGACTTTTTACAGCAGAGGACAGCGTGCTTTAATCAGTTAATTGGTGATTAATTTCTCCATTATTATCTGTGGAAAAGGAAACTGTGAGACTTAAAGAATCCAAGTGAACTGATTGCTATAATCATACACTTGATTTACTGGTGCATTTTCAAATGATCAGATTAAAAACATTTTTGTGAGAACACAGATTTATATCCTTGAGGGAGGGAAGATTTGAAAAGCAAAGGAAAGATTCAGATACATCCTAGAGTTTAATAGCATATACTTAAACTATAACAAAAGCACAACATCAAAATATTGTGTGTCCAGGGTAAAAATGTTTTAAACAACTGTTGTGAGTTCTTATATTTTACTATAAAGGGATCACAAAATTTTACTGCATATAGAGACAATGACTGACAGAGTAGCAGTTATCATCAACACCCCCTGAATTGTTCTTTTAAAGCTTCTTAGATATGAAGGATAAGTTATTTTTATTAGCTCATCTATTGGGTTTTCTTACACTGGATGGATTCCCTTTAATCTAATAAAAGGACCTAGATAAATTTTTCCTCCTTAACTCAAAGAAATGCAATCTTTATTTCATGAAAATATTCATGTAAATTCATACAAACATCAGTTTGGAATGAATAATACTGTTATTACTCTGACAGATGTTCTTTTAAAAAGTAAATTTAAATATAAAGAATGTTTTAGTCTAGTTGAACTCCGATTTTTAAAAAGTCCCCAAACATTAAAAATTAATCAGACACTACATATTTTCTTCCAATACAATGAGCGAGTATTTTTTTTAATATCCAGTGCAAAACTCCAAAGATAGTATCAAAATCATCCCATACTAAAGATTATGCAAGGTTATATCTGTCAAAAAGTGAAAATTTCATTTGTATTAGCTCCTTATTTGTTAATATAATATAATAAATAAGGCATGTTAAAATATTTTTAAAGGAAAAAGTAAAGCAAACTTACTTGAATAGCAGATCATTTTCTGACCAACAGTTTTAATACAGAATAGTGAAACCTATTTTGTGAAGAACAGAATTACACAATATAAAATTAGCAATTTACCTTTCAATAAACAATCAAACAGTTGAGGAAAAGGCCAGTTTCCCCCATCTGCTTATATTAAAGTGTAGGCAATTGTTTAACATGCTATTTCAGTGTTTATCATGACAAGAGACAGTGTTACAAAAATGCACAATGTAGTCTTTAGATTAGAGAGAAGTAAAAATATTTTATACTTTAAGACTTCATTCATGTTATCACTTAGATGTCTTTCTCTTCAGCATGGCACCAATAAGCTGTTCATAAGGAGAAAAGTGGAAGTGGAATCAGGAGATGCTCACCAGCATACAGATCTAATACTCCGGATAACTGCTCTCATGACAGCAAATTGAGCTTTCTAAAGGATGTTAGTCATTCACAACTGTAGCCTTCTCTCCCCTTTTATCCTGGGACATAGCTCCCATATTAATAAACACTGTTATGAACATATTTCCTTTAGTCATTGTAACAATTTTGTTAACATGTATACAAAATTCATTACACAATAATACACCTGCTTTATCTTCTGACACACTGCACAGCACCACTGAGTAGATGTGCTGGAGGATGGAGACCGGGGAGGGGCAGTGAGGAAAGGGAAGGGTGTGTGTAACAAAATTAGGACTGAAAATAAACTGAAAGGGAGATGCCAATGGACATACTACAAAACACAACATGAAACCAAAGCTTTGACAATGGTATATATCATCTTACGGTAGGACATTTAAATGTTTTCAAGAACTCAAAAGAGGATTACTAAGCAGTCAGATGATCTTCACTTTGAGTAACAGTTAAATGAAAAATACATAACAAAAGTGGATAAATAAACAAATGAATAAAGATGTAAGCATCTGTGTGTCAGAAGTTATACTGTTCTGAGTAAACTAATAAATTTTAAACTTCTGCAAGAAAAATTCAATCTAGCTGCCAGAATGTTACAACTGATTTTGTAGTCATCCAACATTGTTCTCTATGTTTTGTGCAACACTAAATTGTTGAGGTCACTGTCTTAGATGCCAGTGCACACAAAGTTCCCACATACAATGTAACACCTCTTACTGTAAAGAGCAGCAAAAAGTCCAGCTCATTGTGTCAGGCATCACTGGAACACCTGAAGGCTTGCTGCTTTTTTCCTGATAAAAAAGGTATGAAACATGACATCCATTTGCAATCAGAGTTTGCATTAATTGAGAGACAGCCCTAACAACACAATATTCACCCTTTTAAAATTCCAATTATTTGTAAGTTTTTGGGTCCTGCAAATCTGTATCATAATTTCAAAGGCATTTAAAATGGCAAATATACACATTGTAACTTTAGAGTTCAGTAGAATTTTTTTTCAAATTCAGTTTTTTGTCTTTCATTTTATTTAGAACAAACTCAGAATAAATAAAATGTCCATTAACTAAGGAAACTACTCAAAAAAAGGGAAAGAGATTTCCCTCTATCCCTACTATACTTATCTACCCAGTATTTTTTTTTCTTTTCTATCTTGCTTCTAAAGCAAACAGTTGGAAAAAACTTCTTTCGGAAGTAGTGGTCTCCCTGGAGCCACAATGAGACTTAATTAAACTAACCAACATATTTTTTACATTTCATGCATAGGTGGATTCCTATATATTTCTTAATAATTAAGATTCTGATAGTCAGAAAACTATTTTGTTTACATCAGCTTTATAGTCTACCATTCAATGTTTCCTTTGGTAGATATGAACCTCATACCATAGTAAGTGCTAATGCAATGGGACAGTTTCTTAGAAAAAAACCTAAATTATTCTAAATAAATGAAAAACATTAATGAATGTTTTAAATATAATGATTTAGTAAAACTCAAGTTATATGAAAGGCAAAAATGTAGTGACTATAGTTACAGGCAGACTTTAAAAATGCTTCTTTTTCTACTATATTAAATATACTATTCTCAGAACACACTGTATTTCACCAAAAAATGTAATGTGCAGCTTTTATTGAAAAGTATTTTTTCCTGTAAATATGAATTGTTGGTAGTGTTTAGTATATATGTGTCTGGGCAATTAGAAAATATGCAATCTATCATTGCTAAAAGGTAAACACTAAATAGTTCTTTTAGGAATAATGCCGAAATCAATTAATGCCATGTAGGTCAATAAATAAGAAGCTGCTGAAACCTAGAACACTCTAAGTAAGATTTTTAGTATCTGAAATCAGTGTTAAGTGCCAAAGCATACAAATACCTGTGTCCTGACTCATGAAAATAAGAGTTACAAAGACTCATAGCATTTCCTCAAGTAATCCTGAATCACTAGTCTGCTTTGTTCCATCAGTTAAAAATACCTTAGATATTATCTTTATTATATTGTAGACTTATTCCACAAGCTAACAGGTAAAATGATTTCAGTTGGTTAGCACATAAATCATCTTAGAATGGCCCAGTAGTAGTAGTGAAATAATATACAACAGCATCTCTCTAAACGAAAAGCAAAAATGCTTTAGTAGGCGTTAACTGGAACCTTTGTACAAACAGAATGCCACTGCTCATGCCCTGAGTGCATCTGGCAGCATCTGGCAGCTTTTGAGCAAAGTATGAAAAAAAATCAAATGAGAAAACAAATTTGGAAAACCCAGGCCATAAACTCATGTGTGTTAAGTAAAAGAAGCTTTGGGATTATTCACAATCTTCCTTCGAAATCTGGCCCTCCTTTCCTGCTTCGCTCACTCACTAGCTGGCTTGACCTCACTGCTACTTTCCTCTACCCCGTGAACTGCTCTGCCATGCATCATTGGGTAAGGAAAAGCAGCGGTGCCACAGCCATAACCAAGATCAGCAAGACGGGACAGAGCTTTAATGCTACCTGGAGGTCTCCCTGGGCTGACTTTGTATCCCGCAGCTTTAGTTGTACCCAAAGGTCTGCCTGGACTTGTCTTAAATCCAGCTGCTTTGGTCGTTCCCAGGGGTCTGCCTGTGCTGGTCCGGTATCCTGCTGATTTTGTTGTTCCCGAAGGTCGGCCACGCTTACCAGACCGGTTGAGATTTTTCTTTTTCTTTAGTTCGTCTTTTATCTCTAAACTTCTGCCACTTGTAGTCTGCAAGTGTGTTTCATTTAGTGGGTCTTGCCTCTGACAAGCCATTGGTTTGTGGCTGACTGTGTGGCTGTATTTGCTTTGCTGGGAGGAATATATGTCAAACTGATCAGCTCTCATGGCATCTTCATTGAGGCAGGAAGGCTTGCCAGGCCCACAGAAAGCTGGATTACTGCTGGCAACAGGATGCATCATTTTCTACCAAAAATAAAAGGCAAATATGCATAAATACACATAAACAAATATAAGTCTGTATGCCTGCATTCAATGGGGAAGTAGAATCTTCCAACAATTATACAGGCTATTTAAAGTGAGGCTGACAGGCAGGACTACAGACCACTTATAAACTAACTTAAAAGAGACTCAAAGATACAGACTACTTTTAAACAACACACATCAGCAGATTCAAATTGAGAAATGTTTTTCTCAATTTAATTACAAGTAGGGACAAAAACTCTAGAAAAGGTAACTGAATTACAATACGGATTTAGAAGTATGTTTAGAAAGTCTAAATTATATAAAATAGAAAAGAAAACCTGTATTTTGTTTTTTTATGTTTTTTTTTTTTAATTTGGTTTCTCTCTTCTAGCTTACTAAACCCATTTCAATGAACAACAATAAAGACAAGAACTCTTTTTTACCCCCGGTTTGTCTAACATTGTTAGCATGCTTCCCTAGGGTTTGTTATTGTTTTCCTCACATGCATTCTTCTGATCTGGTCATAGTATACACAAGGTTGATACTTCCTCACCAATACTATAATGTACTGTTTAGACAGATTTTGAGTGTATGCTCACTTTACACAAGATGGAATGCACTACGCAAAGAACACAAAGTCTTGTCCTAAGATACTGATTCCCTTCAAACTATTCTAATCAGGAGGCAGTACCAATAAGGGGTAATCAAAAATTTCCATTAGCTAAACTGAATGAACATTTCTACAAACAGCTGAGACTTATACTGCAAAAATATGGAAAAAAAAACAGTTTTTTAAATTCCTATTTTGAAGGTATGGTTATCAAGGCAGAAAGTTGTATTGTAACAAAGCTTTCTGCTGGGATCAGAAATATGGTGTGAATCTTTTCTTACAAGAGCTCTGTGACTTATTAACAAACACTAAGATTGTTTTGTCTATGAGAACATCCCTATTTTTAATTCTTAATAAAGGATGTATTACAAACTAATATCACAGCAAGACAACCCTAAATTATTGTTTGCACCCCTTATATATACTAAAGATTTGTTTATTTGTGCATAGTAGAACTGGGATAGATAGGCCAGAGGTAGGGAGGAGGGGGGAGGAGGAGGTTTCCAGAGGGGGGAGGCAGGGAGCAGAACACTCAGATTTACTGAAACACTGCTAAGGGGAGTAGCGGGTATGACAGAAGAGGTGGGCTGCACCATATGTGAGTCAGCTCCCTGGCTGGGGATTGAACTCAGGCCACACTAGTTGATAGCATGACAGCACTAATACCTAACCCCTCAGCCACCACAGAAGCCCACTGCCTGCAGCCTTTACACATGTAAAATTGAACCAATCCTTCAGTTATAAAAATAGTTACTCTTAAGGCTAAGAACAAATAATTAATGTGAGTCAAAATTATTACTGATTATTTGCCAAGAATCAAGACATAAAGATGTTGGCAAGCTGACATAAAGTCTCACCTATGAAAACATCTAAAATGAAAAGTTACTTGTTTATGGCAAAAGACTCAAATGAGAACATAAATAAGTCTGAGCAAAACACGAATATTAACAAGGGTAATTCCTCATTCTCCAAACACATAATAACTAGGTAATTTATTATTCACTTCACTAACTCAATTCTTATTTCAGATGAGAAATAAGGAGATCTGTAAACAATGTAAGCCAACAATTTTTGAGCATTTTCTGTGTGCCAGGTAGTACACTTGGCACTTTGAATACTGCCTTATTTAATCCTCAGGCAACTATATGAGGAATATACTATTATTAGCTCTGACAGAGGCAAAGACTTGAAGCAACCTGCCAGTTTCTTCACACATGAAGAAAACAGTGACGTCAAATACAGATTCAGTTAATCCAACCTTAGAATCAACAATTTCAGTGGATAAACAACTATACCAGGTTTTCTCAATAGCAAGAAGTACTACCTTTCGGTCAGCTAATTCTTTGTTGTAGAGGATTGCCCTGTGCATTGTAAGATGTTTTAGAAGCACCCCTGGCCTCAATCCACTAGACACTCTTCTAGTAGCGCTCTTACTGGCTCCCAATTCATACCAACTAAAAATTTCTCCAGACATTCTCAAATACTGCCAGAGGGTGAAATCCAAACCTGACTGACTGAGCCAGTCAGTTACACTAAAATGAAAATGCAAGATCCAATTTAAAATGTTCTTGTTTGAGCTTTTTATTCCCCTCTTTAGTTCTCCCCTCTCCGAAGAGCCCTAAAGCCTTTCTGCAATGTCAAATAAATTTGTTTTCCAAACTGAAGAAAAGCCAATGCTGGGATTTGTGAAGGAAATCTCCTTTTCAAGTTATAAACATACTGAGAAATATACACAGAAATTAGAAATGACCAGTTTATTACCAATAGTTAGATTAAGAGACCACTCTTAAATACAAAGAAAAACACATTCAGGCCTTGGAGCAAAAGACTAAGAAAGAAAAAGTGACCCCGTTTTGATTTTTATTATTCAGCGTTCACCCTGCTGGAAGTTCTAGCAAAAAGTAGAAATAAGTAAGATCTCTTCCACAGGTAATTAATACCACCAATAAATGGAAAAAATGTTTCCTTCTGCAATCTACATGAACTCTTTATAGTTCATGCTTTTTAGGTTTCTATCACTAGCTTACCAAAATCCTCCTGGATTTTTCTTCCCCTTCTCTTAATATATGTCAACAATTCATGATCTGTTAGCACTCAGAATATATAAAGTTTCAGCTTACATTACATTAAGTTTTAACAAATTGCCTTTAAAGGCAATTTTTACTAAGATGTCAAGCAACACTGGGGGAAAAAACAACATGCTATTAAAAAAAAAGCAGATCTGAATTCTTTTTAAATGCACACATCTTTGATTCCTTTCATTTTCTCCAGATATTTATGCATTTGACTTGTGTAGGCTAATTTACTTCTGACATAGTTTGCCTTTACTGTGGGTCAACTCCATGCAAAGTACTAAGCAACAGGACACAAGACCGAAGTAAAGCTATTTATTCTATTGGAATGTCAATGACATTCTGACTTAAAACTTTTTTTTAAAACGATTTATTTATTTATGCACACAGAACTAGAGTACAGGTCAGAGGTGCAGGGGCGGTGAGAGGATTCACCAGAGACAGTGGACAGCAGAACAAGCCAACTGACAAGTCCACTGCTGAGAAGAGCAGCTGGTGAGCCAGAAGCCTGGTGAGCCATGTGGATCACCTCTGGGGCAGGAATCAAACTCCCACCAAAGCAACCAAGGCCAGCTTTGCAGTGCTGCACTTTAACCCACTGCACCACCAGGGAGGGTCCGACTTAAAACATTTCTAAAGGATAAGTCTTCTGTACCTTTTATATTTTATTTCCCATAGCATAGTTCTCTGCTTACTCACTAAATGATTAACAAGCTGGAAAGAAAATTAATATTACAATTACCCATGTAAATAGCTAACGAAAAAAGGAAAACGGCTAAAACCAGTCTTTTCCTACTTTCGGATTTCAACCTCTTTGGATGGGAATTAGCACATGAGATATGTATGTACATAATCCCCAATTTTTATATCCAGTATTTGCATACATAAGCATTAATCCTACACTTACTAACTCTGACCTCAGTGCTTACCAGCCAACTGTTCTTTCTTTCATCCCATATTGTAATACAGAGTCCATTCAATGTGCATGGAGGCTACTACTTTTCTAAGAGTCAATGAAGGCTGCATTTCTAGCAAGTTTGAACTGAATGAAAACCAAGAGTTACAGAACAGACTGTCTAGATTATCAAAGGTTAATTATCTTTTGAAAATAGTTCGCTGAGTACACGGGAATCAAACTAAGCTTCTATATATTCTAACTACGACCAAATTAGAATTTTAAAGTACATACTACCACTTGCCGTCTCACTGACGTTCTTTCAGTGTGTTTTAACCTTTAAAGCCTGCCGGTGGGCAGGTCTCGAAAGAATTCCTTGCTCTTCTCTCGAAAGTGGCCGTCACTACACTAAGGCTTAGTCGTACTATTAGTACAGATTATAACTATTTTTAGCGCTTCACAAAGCATTCCTGAAGCTTTCTAAACATGAGAAAAAGTTTCTTTCAAGAAACCCAAATTCAGCTCTCTTGCACAGACTAAAGGTCACATAATTCTCAGAGATTTATTTCAGGCCATGTGGCTTGTTATTACAGTCATACACGGCTTATCATGCTAAATGAAAGTACATCTGTGACCCACCTCAATCATTCAGAAATTCTGCTCAGCAAAGGCCAAAACAAATACCAGCAACTAAGCATCCTGCCCCACCAGGGAAAGTTTTGATCAGGGGGACAGAACATAAATAACGGCCTCCTTTGTGTCCTTCCTACTCCTTAATTGTGCCCCGCGGCTCAGTTTCCCCCGTGCCAGAATCCTTCTTTGACACCGGACGTTTAGAAATGCATTACCTGTTGTACCTAAAAGCGGTGAATGCGTTATCGGTAACAACTTTGCAGCAGATACACCCCCACACCAGGGCGAGGTTGGTGCGCTCTATTCGCCAAAAATCAACTCACAGACCGTGGTCCGCGCACGCGGAGTTCTGCAAGCTGTACAAGTCCGCAGGCCACTCCATCTACACGTCCCCCTCGAAGCCGGCAGGCTTTCACTTAACGCGGGGAGGAAGGGCTGCCGATTTTGACCTCTCCACGAAAAGAAAGGGTAACCCCTCCCCCTCGCCGCAGGAGGCATTTCCCCCCAATAATGGCTCGACGCCCAGGGAAGAGCATGCTCCGTCCGGGGCCCCTCCTCTCGCTCCCGGCTAGGCCAGCGCCCCTCCTCGGACGTGGGTCGGAGACCTCTTCTCAGCAGCTACCTAGGCCCGGGCGCTCGCAGCCTCCCAGCATCTCCACGAGCGCCAGGCGCCGGGACTTTGCTCCCGATCCGCTGACAAACCCCCACTCGCCCACCTACCTCAGCCGCTCGTAGTCCGGCCCCTCAGCGTGCCCGGGGGCTGCCCATCGGCTGGGAACCTCACGCAGGCGCTGCTCCCTCCCCAGTCCGCCGCTTCAGCTCCGTGCAGAGGAAAGTACGAGGCGGAGGGGCTGGCGGCTAAAGCGGCGGCGGCGAGGCGGACGCTGGCTCCCAGCTCCAGCCGCGGCCACTACTCGGGGACCGGCCCCGGACGCGGACGCAGGAAGAAGAGGCCGCCACAGCCCCGGACTGCGAGGGGCGGCGTGCGCGAGCTCGCGAGGACCGCGCACGCACACGCACACGCACATCGCGAGACCCAATCTCCCGCCGACGACCAGCACGCGAGATTGGGGACAAGGCCCCTCCGACCTGGCTGCGCCTGCGCGTCGCGACGAGGCGGGGGCGGGGTCTAAACTGCGGCGGCCCAGACCCGAGTGCTGGCTGCGCTCTGCGGAGGCGGGCGGGACCCCTCAAAATGGGGGCGACTTACACCCGGGGACTTAATTTTCACCCCAGTGCTGTGATGGAGCGACTACTGACCCCATTTCTTATCTCAGATTGTAACTCACTAATAAAATTAGGAAGGAAACCCAAAACAGCAGTCTTGTTCCCAAAACGGCTTTAATCGCTGCAGGGAAAAAAAACATTTACTTAGGTTTTATAAGGTGCTGCCCTGGAGTTCAGGAGTTGGCCTGGTCCTTTCAGTTGTGGGTGGGTAGGGTGAAACCACTACCTGCAAACCTAATGAGAGTATTGAGTAATTATGGTGAGAAGTCTCATTTTGTGAAACATCCTATGATTTTGTTTTTACACTCACGACCTCGGAATAGCTATATTCATCATTCCACTATCGCAGGACGGGATGGCACAACATGTAGTTTTGTTTATAAACTCCTGGCCTTTTATGTACTAGCGTGACTCCCGGTTATCACAAGCCACTTAGTTTCGTTGGTTCTTTCTCCTGCGCATTCAAAGATGTCAGAATTAGGGTTACTGGAAAAAAATATATATTCAGAATCGGGAAGGTTACTTAAAGGAAGACACTTTATTAGGTGAGGTGAAGAGGCTAGAAGGGCATACTTGTCCTTTTTCCCCGATACCCAACGAAAAGAAGAGTTCCATCAGGAGCGCAGGGTGGTGGTGCCAGTAGAAGAGCAGCAACAACTTTTCTGGGTGAACACACAAACCAGGAAGGAAACCCAAGACAGGCAAACCCATTCATTTCCTGGTAGGCAGGGTTTCATGACATGATTCAAAACAACATTCTAACTATTAGAAGACAGGACTCATTGCAGTATAGGTTATATGTGAAAGGAAAATGCCAAGATAGAAGAGTTAAAATATGTACACAGATTTTACAGTAAAGCAGTCCTTAAAAAAAAAACAAATGTGTAATCAAGTTTCCTCTCAGTTTTCTTTTTGCACTCAGTGGAATATGAGAGGGCACTGTAGCACTTACTGTGCCATAACTATTCCGTTACTCTACAAAATTGAAATGGTATTATCCATAAAACCACATTAGCAACGTCTGTACTAATAAGGTCAAATAATTTGCAAGTGCAACGCACAAGTAGAGTAAAGAGAAGTCAGACATTCCTGGGTTGGAATGCCTTTCTGCCATTTAACTCTTATGGGACTTAACTTTGAACAAGCCATTACTGTTTCCAGAAATTTCCACATTTGAAATGAAGAAAATGTCATCCTTGTAAAAATAGTAGAGACACAGGACAGACATGGTTGTTGATCTCCAGCAGTTTACGTTCTGTAAGGTAGACAAGCATCATATAATCTGAGTAGAGTGTTAAAATGCAGTGACTGCTATTTTCTGGTAATGGTCGGTCTCAGGGTGGTCTCGTGATGAGGTACTACAGTACCTACTGAACAGGTACAAAGTACAACTGGTGCTGATCTTTTCTAGAGCACAGACATTTATCATCACTTCACTGTTAATAAGAGCATACTTTTAAATGCCACACGATTTGACTTAACTCCCAACATGTCTTAATCAAAAGTGTACACCTCGAAATACAACTGGTATTCAAATTTGCAATTTGAAGTCAATCCAATAGTTTTCATTCCTTTTCCAATGACTTCAGCCTGACTCAAGGGAAGTCAGATCATAAAACCACCAATTACTGAGATTTTTGAATGATAAATGGTGACTGTAGATATATGCAAGAAAGGCTATAAAAGGGATTTTTTCTATAGCTAAGAACTGGTTATCTCTAAAGGCCTTTCAATTGAGGCAACAAGTGCATTTAAAATTTTTCATTTGAACACAAAGATATACATAGGGAAACAATTCTCACTTTATAAATTTTATTAGTAGCCACTGACTGTCCATAGCTTATAGCAAGTGAAAGGTAAAACAGTAAGTAAACCAACTCTTTCACCTATTATAATAGTACTAATGTTTACTATGACAAGTTTATACTTCAATATATCCATATATACCTTAAAATCTTTATATATTTTCTTACATACTTTTTTATATATAAGTTCACATAATTAATCTCATCCTCACAACACTTAGAAATAGTTATCAACACATCCCTATTTTACATGAGATATTTAAAGCATTTGAGCAGCATGTCAGTTGTCCAAATATCTTCCTGTATGTAAGTTTGTAGTTATGCATATAAACCAACACTAATAATATTACATACACTATCGTATGACACACAAAACCTTCATACAAACAACTTTAAATAAGATTTAAAGGGAAATAGAAATAAAAGACTTAGTTTTTTTCTTCCTTCTTTTCAAAGGCTGATAGCACATATGCCCCATTTTGGAAAACACTGCTTTAGATGACAGTCAAAAACTCCAAGAACAAAACAAAATGAAGATTTTTAGTGGTTTTCAAACTTGAATGAGTATCAGACTCGTGGCCACCCAGACATGTTTAATAGTAACGCTAGACAGGGGAAGCTACAGAGAAGTCCTATGTATCCACCCCAAATCTCTATGGAACTTTCCAAATCTGAGACTTATGCCAGAGTTTTGAGGCCTGGGCTGGTTTTCAAAGGTCTACAATATACTTGTAGAAATCTCAGTTCTTAGGCAAAAAGGCAAAAATGGAGAGAAAACATACCTTTAAGGATCCAGGTGTCTGAGTTTCCTAGAAATAAAGAAACAAGGCCATGGACACTTTAGCATGAGGACTAACAGAAGCACCTGCTGTTATAAGCTGTTAAAACATTTATCTACTACCAACAGCCAAATGAAATTAAATGGTTTTGTGGAAGTCCCAATTTTTTGGACTAAATCTTTACTTTGTAACAGGCAAAATTGTGGAGCCTAATAGTCAAAACTAATGGCTACCAGGTATTTCCAAATATGTAACACACGTGGTATATACCATACAGAATAAAAGTTATTTTTTCCCTGAAAATTCTAGCTTTTACAGTTATTAATAGAACAACTGAGTTTACTTCTCCAGATGTTAAACTTTTTTATTTTTCATTTTATTTTTGGTAGCCCAGGTTCTCTTTATTTATCTTCATAGTCAGTCAGCAGTGGAGTCACATGAGGGTTATAGAACATGGTTATCAAGAACCCACGGAAAAGTCTTAGATCTCATGTAGAGATGGAGGTAGGACATAAGCTTTGGTCTCCCATGCTTTCCACACTGTAACTTCAGGAAGACATTCAGCATGCTCACTGCCACCCCACAGAGAGGAACAATGAAGGTGAGGGCTTTCCACAGGGATGCCACTTGACATGGGCCTCCCAACTCGTAGCAGGGACCAGCAGCCTAGAACCCTAGGACTCAGTTACGTAACCCTGCCATTTTTGACCTGGATTCTAAAGTTTCTGCTTTTACATTTTCTCCCCAGATTAATGCACAATTAGAATTTCTTTTCAAGGACTTCAGTTAAAAATTATGAACGTCTATATGCTGATGCCACATTTTGAAATGAGTAAAGAAAAAATCAAATGTAAATTCTTACCAACCCCGTGACTTAACGGTATGCACTTACATACAAACACATACTAATTCGGACAGAGGGACTATAAAAGTGAGAACGCAGGTATTGAGGGAATTTTTCCAAGGATACAGTTGTTTACATTTTTCTTCACATTTCCACTTGGACTCCTGCCTGAGGAGAATTATAACTTGTTATAGGGGAAAAACAGAAGAACGAACCTTCAAACTCATAATGGGTAACATATCAGGGAACCTCTACCTTTAGCTCCAGAGAGCTGGCCTAGAGTAAGGCATTATCTTTCATTAAGTGGTGTGCAAAAACGATGATGTTCTTCAAGTTAATAGTCACACTCCAGTGAGATTTTTTGTTTTTGATGGTTATAAACCTAAATGGAATAAAAAGTTATGCCATCCCCTCTATACCACTCATGCATTTACTTTTTTATTCTTCATATTTACTTACACATCCTTTGAAAATATTAATTTTTCATGGAAGAAACAGGAGGTTAATAAGAAAAATGTCAGTACGTTCTAATTCTTATATAAAAGTATGAACACAATGAAGAACTAGTAGCTCCACTCTCAGATCAAAGAGGAAGAACATTTTCAGGGACCACATGGGGCTACTCACTCAGAACTCTTGCCAGCTAAGCTACAACTCAGCATCTTTCATGTACACTACACCAAGGCCCTCCTCTCCCCAGCTCCTGTATTAAATAGTCCTACATTAACCTGTCACTAAAGGGCCTTAGCTGCTGGTTTTACAAAGCAAAGCAAGTGACCACCTACAGGGAAAGGGCTCAGAGATTGCCAAGTTACAATCTCTGATTCTTAAGGCTGGGTATCTCATCTAGAAGGAGATTCCCACAGTTGGCATCACAGGAATGATGAATCCTGGGTATCATGGGCTACTCAAATAAAAACTATGTGTACAGGGTGTGGATCAAAAGAAGGCTGGCAATCAGATGCCCTGTTATTACCAACTGAATACTATGAGTATACCAACAAGGCTGGTAAGACATGAAACAAATCAAATGATAAATTGTCTAAGAGCCATTGTCCTTTTATTCCATACTTACATTCCAAATGACCAAGTGGCACTGGTAAAATATTGACTGGCACCTGAACCTATTATTTCACCTACAGCACCTATTTATCTTAAGCTAAAAAAAAAACACCATCAAAGACTGAAGCTCTTTCAAGAGGATATTTTTGGATACAACTGTGCATTATGGGTATTGAATGATTAGATTTTTAAATAGAGTATTAATCACTTTTCCCAAGTCTATGTATTTAAGCTAGCAAAACAGCAGAAAACATCTCAGCAAAGATAATTTTAAGAAAACACAGATTGAATTAACTTTATTTTATAAGGAAATTAGAAAACATGAGCAAATATTAATAATGCATTAAAAAACAAATCTGTACATCATTCAAATCTTAAAAATCAAAGACTCAGTGTGACACTAAAAAAAATGTACTATTAGAACAAATCCTTACATTGTAGACCAAAAGACTATCAGTGGTTCATTATAACTAGATATACAAACATAAAGGTAGTAAAAATAAAATTATGTCAAACTCTGAATCTCACAAGTGATCTAGCAGTGAAGGGAGCACCAATTATGCCCAGTGAGGGACCGCCACATCCTACCAAGGGAAATAAACTATCACTGGGTTAAGAAAAAATAAAGAGCAAATAAATAGAATGGAGATGAGGGGGAAGAAGGGAGCCCAAGATATCTAGAATAAGTAATTTTTTTGTTTGTTTTATGACGTTGTCTGTGTTCTGTTTTCTTCCTGTTAGAAAGACAGATAGGGATCCAAAAATATTCCCCAATTATCTATCAGCTTTTCGGTGAGAATAACTTTGTGTTGAAGAAATAATGAAGGTGATTCCTGATCACTTTGTCTTGGTAAGAATAACTTTGTGCTGAAAAAATAATGAAGGTGATTCCTGATCACTTTGTCATTTAGTTTAGAACAATTCAACAGCTATAGATGTTTTTTCTTTTCTTTTTAAAAGAACTCTTAAGTCAAGAATACTCAAAGTAACTTTTTCATTCATGAACATTTTCTTTTTTTTCAATAAGCCATTAACAATATGAAGTTCTGACATACCAGGAGTCTTGAAAAGGATATGAAGTGATACAATTGCAACAGTTTAAATAAATAAATTTCAGGAATTAAAACTGAGGGTTTAATAAAGTAACTTGACTGCTTGTGAACTACATTTCATTCCAGATGATTAGGTCTAAGTCTAAAATTTGGGTGAAGGCAAGGGGTAGAATCACTGCACTTGAAAAATTTTAAGAAAGAAAATTCACAAGTTACTCAGTTATTCCAAAGAAAAAGAATTAGTAGGTTGCTTGTATATACCGTATGTACAGAGACATAAAGAAACGCTTTCAAAGGGGAAAAGGAATTGTATTACTGTTTACAGACTAAAAATCACTTTCTTTTAATTAAGATTATAAAGTCAGTAGGTAGGCATTGGACAGAGGTTACAAAAAGAACCTAAAAGTAGTAGACACTAAAACATTTTGCATTGTAAAGAAACACAAAAACCTCTTATACTACAAATCTTTAATTTTACAAAACCAAAAAGCAGCCCATCTGTTCCCCATTTACAACAGTAAAAATTGAAACAAAAACTCCCAATTCTTTTTGTAAAAATTTAGTTGTAACATTCTTAAATCCATTTCATACTGTTCCACTGAGTCCAATGAGATTTAAGCTCAAGGGGGTGGGGAGGGTGGGGAGAGGTCACACAAAATTGGAGAATTTTACCTTTTAAGGAGGCGATCACAATTTCATTGCAAGAGGATAAGGAGAATAGACCTTTAGCGACTTGTGTACTTTATTACTATTACCTTCAACAGGAAGTCCAAAATTTCCATTTTGTCAAACTTCTGGAATACTATTCAGATATTTAAAATATTGACATTTAAATTTTAAAGGACATACTATGAAAACAGGCCTAATTTAAATATAGGTTGATAGTTCTTGGGCTACTTACTGAAAGATATTTTTTTAGCAAATACTGGTTTCTTGTGTTTAAAAAAATCAGCAAGACAGAATTTAAAATATCTTAATTTACAATACACTGTAAACTGCAGACAACTGCCACGTGTATCACAGACCAGTACAGGTAAAAAGCTTTTTCCAGATGTTTTATAAGACCTTGTATCTCCCTTTATTTGTGGGTTGATATGAATTTTGCTGTAATAGAAAATAAAAAAAAGCACATGATCAGAAAAAGGAAAAAGCAGTAACACCTGCAGAGATCTATTCCTATACAAACTTCTAAAAACTATGGGATATTTACATTTTAATTGCTACTATTATGTTCAGGAAGAATTGTTCAATAATCATTTCTCTATGTTTTCCTAACTACTCTTTCACATCCATTTTGAAACAACTTAATGGTGCTGATGCCTAAAAGTACAAATTTTCCCCCCATCATTCTTTGTGAAACAGTTATTTTTTTTTTTTTTGGGAAGATTCATTTATTTATTTGTAGAAGAACTGGAGACCAAAGGTATAGTAATAGGATTCACCAGAGTCAGAATGGGGAGCAGAACAGGTAGATCTACTGAAACACACTGCTGAGGAGAGCAGCAGGTAGGTCAGGAGTGGTCTGCTGCGCCACGTGAATTCATGCTACGGCTTCACAGTGCTGAGATTTTAACCCCTACACGGAGGCACGAAACACCTAGTTTTAAGCACTAGATTTAAAGGTGGTTCTTTCTTCTTCCCTCGTTTTGTGTACCATTTATTCTTTAAAATGTTTATCTCCCCAAAGTATTCTGTAAGAGAAATTTTAGAAAGGCCCACAAACTCCCATACTTAGAGGAAGAATACTGTCTTTCAAAAGGAGCCTCACCCCTACACATTATAGGGAGAATTTACAAACTCCTACTGACACTGAAGACACAGTGATGTGTCTGATCTTTGGGAAGACCTATAAGAGGGGGCTTTCTACAAATTCACATTAATTCCTTGCCTAGATTTAAAAACATGGCAACACCTGTATTGGCAAATTGCAGAGCAAATGAAATTTTCATACATTGCTAGAGGGGATGTAAACATACAACCTCTTTGGAAAATCATTTAGCAGTAACAATGGAAAATTAAAATACATATACCTTCTAACTAGCAATTCCACTCCCTGACTTTACCCAAGAGTAATGTATACCAGAGACATGGAACAGTGCTCATGGAAACATTAATCACAAAAACCCCAAAGTCCAATATATCAACTAATTGTGGTATATTAATGTAAATACTACACAGTCACTAAAAATGGACTAGTGCTCCATACTGCAACACAGAGTGATTTCCTCAAATGTTGTAAAGATTTCAATATATGGAGTTTAAAAAGCAAAATTTAACCTCCATGTTAAAAATCAGGCTATTGTTACATTTGGAGAAAATGAATAACGACAAGAATGGAATGAGGGGTAGTTTCTGGGATACTGGTAATGCTCTGTATTTCTTGATCTAGAGGGTGAGCACATCATTATGTTTGTGAAAACTCATTAAGCAGAATGTTTATAATCTGTGTTTTTCTGCATATATATGTTATAGTTCAATAAAACATTTATTAAAGCAAATAAATCCTTGAGGTTTTCACTTACCAACCGGATCAGCTCTTCTTTTATGAGCCTGGTGATTTCTGCTTTTGCTTTTTGCACAGCCAGCTCATTGGCACCTGGAGAATGTATAGAAAACAATATTCCTATTACTAGAGCCCTATTATTATTATTTCTATTACTACAAGTTTATCCCTGTCATCAAGGTCAAATAGGAAATTATCATAGGTGACTTTTAGAAACACGGTACTGACTAGTGGGAGAGTCTTTTAATGTTGGTGAAATATCATTCACATTATATAAAGGCTGCTTATTATTCTGATTACTGTTAGATTTTCAAATGTAACCACCATGGAAACATTAAGTAGAATTCTTGATAAGTTGATTAAAAGGAAGGGAGAAAAGATCATTAGCAATTTTCCCAAAAGAGAGTAAGAAAAAATTAAAGAGAAATATTTACTGAACATTAATTAGGTCCTTAAAGTTAGCAAATGTTCCAGAAGTCATCTGAGCAAAATCTTAAATATGAAGGGAAGACTAGCAAAGCAAAGGGAAGAAAGATGACATGGAGAGTATTTCTGCAAATGGAATCACATATGCAATGGAACAGATGAAGAATGGCATGCATAACTACTGAAAAGTAAGAGAAGTACAGCATGCTTGAGGAGGTGTGAGAGAAAGAGAGAAAAATATGGTAAGACAGCCAGGTGGATAAAGCAGGTCAGAAACATTTATCCATAATTATTAATTCAAAAAACATTAAGCATCCACCATGTAAGACATATAGTGAAAGCCATTATACAAAAACTCAATTCATACTCTTTATGAACTTGTGGATTATTAGAAAACAAACTTGTAAAAGATATTATAATAAATGAGGAAGGTACGAAATAGCAGTCCATCAGAGTAATTTCCAAATATTACTTTAAAAAAAACCTATTTATGTATTTATACATGCAAGAACTAGGGTACAGGCCAGAGGTGCAGGGGGTGAGAAGATTCACCAGAGACAGAGTGGGGAGAACAGGCAGACTGACTGAAACACACTGCTGAGGGGAGCAGCAGCCAAGACAGGAGAGGTCTGCCACACCATGTGATCCCCCTGGCTGGGATCAAAGTGATGTTGCAGTGGCCGCAAATAGCCTCGCCGTGCTGTGCTTCAACCCCTTGTGTCAACAGGGAGGGCCCCTCAAATATTACTTCTTCTAAGTAATTTTCCCAGACTTTTCCAGGAAGAGTTGTGTTTTCCCTCATTGAGTGCAGAGAATTGTGTTCCTCTCATTACGAAAACACGTTTTTGAGTGGCAGGTTAAGAAATTTAGAACAAGTAAGATACTAAATCCAAGAGGAGCACTAGGTTTTATCAGGGGTAATGATGGTGAAATTCAATTCTGAGATCGCTAAAATTTCAAGTGCTCATAGGATATCCATTAAAAACAGCACTAAAGTCAACAGATATACAGACAACAAGTTCAGAAAGAGATTAGAGGCTCACCAAGGGTAGATGGGGAGGGATCTGAAGTCAGAGGACATGCGGGGTTGAGGGGGATGAGGGTGCGGGGAAAGGCACAGATAAATCTGGACAGGTAGCACAGTACACAAAGATAAAAGGAAAAAAGCTATATCATAGTAGGCTAAATATTAAGGATTAGGAATATAATGTCAAAAAGCAAAAGGCCACACAATGTAGAGAATACACTCTAACATTCTGTGTATGAAAACCAAATGAGGAAAAACAATTCATAAGAAATGGAAAAATTTTTCCTCTTACTAGATACGATTAACTTTCAACTCCTGAGTGAGAAAGAAGAAATGGCTTAATGATAGGAAGGAAAGAGCCATGAGTGTAGCTATGAAATCATAGAAACACATCTCATCTAAGTTATAGAACCCCACTACCTGCCAATCACATTTCAAAGCGTGGAGAAGATGGATGCAAGAAGGACAAAGGGGTGGGTAAAGTGAAGGCAAGGGTAGAATCAAGACTCAAGTCAGAGTGAAACACTACAATCATAATAAAAGTATGCTATTTGGCACAAGCTGATATAAAGTGGGTTACTGATATACATAATATTTTAATTTTAAAAAGGAAAATGATACTCTTACCTAGATCCAAGTGGAAGAGTAATTTTCCTACTTTACTCAGGGCTTGACCATTTGGGCCAGTTTAAAATTGACTTATATAGCTTCTTTGGGTAATAGGTTACATATGTTTATAAGCTGCCATGAAAAAGAGGCATTTCCTTTCATTGCTCCTAAAACAACTCTGGCTGCTTTTAAGGGATTCTCCACTAGTAAAAAGAGAGGGCACAAAACAGGCTGTATAAATTATACGGGCTGGCTAGGCACGTAAGTCCTTCCTGTTCTCCTTCCCGCTACCTGGTGGGAGGCCTGGCGTTGCTGAGCCACACAGAGCCTCCAAGGAGCCAGGCAGTGGGGTCCCTCCAATTACAGAACTAGAAACAGATGATACTAGGCTCCTTTCAACACCTGTTTTCTTCCTATTAGTGTTCTGTTGACTTGGATGGAGCTTCAAAAACTAAAAGACCTTTTAAAAAATCTAATCATCTATGAAAATTCTCAAAGCTTTAAACGATTTTAATGACCAATACCGTGCACCATTATACCCCTAGAATTCTCAAGATTCATTTTTGACAAGGTTATCTTTTTACTAGGGGAAAAAAGCTTGCTTGGATTATAAAAATTAGATATCATTTCCTAAATACTAGTTGACAAAGAAGAGAAGTTGACTCAAAACCATTCTTGGTGGATGGAAAAGTCAGCAGAAACTGTCAGCACACAATGGAAATCTCATTTTACTTCCTATGGTAGCACAGGAAATGTGTGCCAGTAAAGCTATATTTAAAAGGAATCTTGATACTTGTACATTAATTATACTGTACTACTATGCATAATAACCTTCAAAAAATTACACAGAGAAACCTTGTTCAAAGCAAACAATTACATCTCTTACTTATCTTTACTAAGGTAGGCAAAATTGGTTTTGCTTCACAAATGAACATGATACTCAAGTTGAGGATAAAAAGCTGCTTTATATCTATCTAAGGTTTTATCATCAGTGTCTCCTGGATGTCACGGTATCTCCATCCCACACGGCATAATAAACGCAATAGTAAAGGAGATGTGCACAGCCCCAAGTGCAGAAAGATGCCAGTGTAATCTTCTCTCCTTGAAGATCTGTGGTGTCAGCATCTTGCTATACAATGAGGAACAGTGTCACACAACTGGGAAACACTGACTCACTGGCAGACCAAAAAGTCTGTCAAAAACAAAGGGTGCCACTTGCAGCCTGACTTGAAATGGGTGAAAAAGCTTCTCAAAGTTAGTCACTCAGCAAAAAATGCAATGCAGCCAAAGACTGTACCCACATATCTGGTACACCATTTCAAAATATATATGTGAATCTCAATGCATAATAATGTCGAGTAGCACTAACAGGGGAAGAAAAAACAAAAAGACTGCATTTAAATTCTATCTTTGTCACAATTTAGCGTTAGTGGTTTCTTCAAGTTCAGTCATGAGAGTTTCATCAGCAAAAATGGTACAGCAGGGAACTCAAAAGTCTGTCCCTCTACAAAATTAGCAAACAAAATAGGCAAAAAACTGCTACAAGCACATAAGAATACTGGAAATTAAAATTCATAGAAATGAGGCAAACACTTACTCAAGGAAAAAAATCAGCTGATTCTTGGTAATGGAACTTTTCTGTCTTTTAACTTCTACCCAATCAAGTATTTTTGGCCAGGAAGTAATTTCTCCTTTGGGGTGGGTAGGCAGCACACTGCACATGTGTTTCTCTTCTTGTACTCTTTAGACTAAGTAGTCTCACAAAAACAATATGAGCTGACCAATTAAAGGGAAAGTGACTAGACGGGCACTGCACTAATTACTAATTATTTGTGAAATTCTCTTTGTTTTGGCCAGGAAAGAATCAAACCCTAAAAATAATTACTGGTATATGACCAAATCATCTTCAGAATATACTTATTGCAAAAAGGAACTTAACCAAAACTATAAAGTCTTCACAAAAATCAAAGGAATACCAAGATACAACAAGAAAAAATTAAGTAGCAAGAATTCTTATTTACTATATATACATATATATATTCAATGAATATAAGAATCTATCTTTCAAAAACAAATTTTAGATTTGAGCTATCAAATGTGGCAGCTACCAGTCATGAGGCTATTTGAATTCAAATTAATAAAAGTTAACTAAAAATTTAAATTTCTGAGTCCCAGTGGCCATATTTCAAGTGTACCACGGCAAACACAAAGTGTTCCTTTGGACAGTGCTGCTTTACCAAGATCAAATGGATATATCAGGAAAATAAAATTTTGGGTCCTGAAGAATTTAAATCGTTCTTTTCTTAACCAGATACAGAGTTCAGAAAATGATTATCAAGTGTCTACCTGTGCAAGGCACTGGGAATACAGCAGATAACAAAGTCACAGCATTCACAGATATTTAGAAGACAAGAAATGAGAATATAATTTCTAAGTGGTGAGGACAGTGAAGAAACTTAAAGCAGGTAAAAGTTGGAGACTGGGGCCCTCCCTGGTGGCGCAGCGGGTTAAAGCACAGCACTGAGAATCTAAAAGCCGCTTCCGCATGAGTTCGATTCCCGCCTGCCCCGGAGGAGACCACATGGCGTGGCAGACCTCTCCTGACCCGCCCGCTGCTCCCCTCAGCAGTGTACTTCGTCCATCTGCCTGTTCTGTTCCCCACTCTGTCTCTGGTGAGGCCTCTCACCGCCCCTGAGCCTCTGGCCTGTACCCCAGTTCTGTATGCATAAATAAATAAATCTTTAAAAAAAAAAAAAAAGTTGGAGACTGGTGAAATACAGTTAGATGTGACACATACAGTTCAGAGTACTACAGTGCTGTCTGCGGTGATGTGGCCTTAAGTAGCACCTCGGCCGCATCTACACCATTTAACCACCAGGGGGGGCGTGCATCGAAACCCTACCCGGCTCCAACAACAGTAGTCAACAACTACTTGTTCATTAACTAAATGGATCTGGCGATCTACACTTCAAAAGTCTATCTCAAAAGTGTTCAGATAAAATGTAAGTGAAGGGACACTATACTAACATGCAGTGGAATAACATGTTAGAGAAAAGTTAAAATGGAAACTGTCTTTCCAATTCAATCATGAAGGTATGAAATAAGATTAAAACTCAAAGCTGATAGCTCTTAGGTAACACATTACTATATCCTCTGACTGATGGTCTGAATCATCCTCGTATGCTTTTCTTTGGTGTACACAAACTTCATGGGCACAGTTTCAGGGACAATATTTGCTTAGAAAAACATTCATTAAGTAGACTAAAAGAATGAATTTACTTTCTAATCAAAACTTTTTCTAGACTGTTTGTATCACAAACATAAACAGACCAATCTCCAACATGTATTATTTTCTGAGTTGCTGAAACTGAGATTTTTTTTCCCAAAGATTTATTATGCATACAGAACTAGGGTACAGGTCAGAGGTGAGGCGGGTGAGAGGATCCACCAAAAACCAAGTGGAGAGCAAAACAGGCAGATTCACTGAAATACAATGCTGAGGGGAGCAGCAAATAGGTCAGTAGAGGTCTGCCAGGCCATGTGGGTCAACCCCTGGCAGGGGATCAAACTGGTGCTGCAGTGGCTGCGCGGTGCTTCAACCCTTCTGGCCCTAAAATTGAGAGGTCTAACACGTATCATGACCTTTGTGTATACACTAAATTTCAAAACAAAGGCCTCAGCTAATATAAGGAGTTTTTTTCTTAAAGGTTGTCCTGACTTACAGTCTTCTCTAGAATTGACTTCACATTCTCTCTCTGTCTATTACACTTACATAAATCTTGATCCAACTCAAGAGAAACTGAATAGTACATACTTTCAATTGCCAAGTAAATTTTCCGTTCTCCTTCCTTGGGTTCTTTGCCAGGTGGAAAATATGTTCCTCTGATTGTAATTGCGGCTTCAGAATATTCACTAATTCTCTGCAACGCCTCCTTCGAAGTAACTTTCCACCTAGCAGTCTAAAGACAGAAAAAGTGGGGGAAAAAATCAGTTCATAAGAGAATTAAAAAAAAAACAACAACTGTGCTAAAAAAGAAAAGGTTGTCCAAACCAAATTATGACCAGTATTATCATTAACCCCTATCTGCACAAAAGTTCACTTTGATCCTAACGTACCTATAAAACAGTCATAAAAATACATGTACTTTTACTATTATTCCCATGTAGCTACAAAGTACCTATTAAAATGTTCATAAGTTTTAAAGAAGGGAATTTTACTTCTCAAAAAGCAAGAGTTTTTCTCTACAATGTAAAGCTTAAATAAATGCTACTTGCCTGTGGGAAGTCATTGATCTCTAATTCCTCCTCATATCTCTTGAAAGATTCATTTTGTCCACCATCCTGTCTTTCCTCTTCTTGTTTCTCCAAAGGCACGTAGTTGAGCTTGGCATTGATCTTTTCAGCGAGTTGCTCTGCAATGGTTTTTGCAGATACTGTGGGAGCCAAAATGGTGCCACCTCTGAGAATTGCATTGGTGGCCTGTTGCATCACATCCTGTAGTAAAAAAGACCTACAGTCAAATCTCAATTGAGGGTAGAGACGAGACTGGGACCTAATACTCTCTAGGATTATTACTATATTATTATTACTCTCTATATATTGTGTGTGTGTGTGTATTGTGTGTGTGTGTAGTGTGTGTGTGTGTGTGTGTGTGTGTGTGTGTGTGTGTGTGTGTGTGTGTGTGTGTGTGTGTGTGTGTTAAAAATACAGCCAGTCTGGTTTCTGGGTTGGTCATCCCAGCTGAGGCACTACATATGTGGTGGACAGAGTCCTGTCTTAAACTCTTTACAATGTGGTTAAGGCCCTCCCTGGTGGCGCAGCAGGTTAAAGCACTGCACTGGGAAGCTAAAGCCACTTCAGCATGAGTTCAATCCCCGCCGGCCCCGGAGGTGACCACATGGCGCTGCAGACCTCTCCTGGCTCGCCCACTGCTCCCCTCAGCAGTGTACTTCCTCGATCTGCCTGTTCTGCTCCCTGCTCTGTCTCTGGTGAGGCCTCTCACAGCCCCTGCACTGCTGGTCTATACCCCAGTTCTGTATGAACAAATAAATAAATCTTTTAAAATAAATAAATAAAATGCTGTTAAAATTAACAATCTTTTCTTTGGGAATTTCATGAAATTTACTCTTAATTACCAAAAAAAGAAACAACTCCCAAAAGATGGCATGTAAAATAGATTAACACATTTCCCACTGCTTAAACTCATGCTAGTTTGAGTTGTACAGTTGTGTTTACACTTCTAAGAAGTTATTTATGTGCCCCATAACCCACCAGTGAAAGATCTAGAGAGAAAAAGTTATGTAAATAAGATCTAGTAAGATCAATTAGAGTATTACAGTACAAAACAACCAAAGCTAACATGCCTCCCAGAGTAGGCATTAAGACCTCATTTAATCACATTGGTGAAAGCATTCAAATGCAACTATCAAAGAATTCTGTATTCAAACAATGTTAAAGTTTAGGTCAATTCATTTACTTGTGTAGACATAACTACTAAAAAATATTTATATCAAAGAACTTATAAAAGTAGTAACTAAGGCTCGGAACAAATTACTTAATACCTGAGACTCAATGCCCAAATTCTTCTGAGCATTAATTCTAAGAGCCAATCTCTTGGCAATTTCTAATTTCTCAGCATTTCCTGCCGTGGGAACAGGAACACTAGATGTTCCAGGAGCTGCCATATCTTTCACTCTCTTCTTTGAATTAAACATGCTTTCAATTTGCTCATCAATCTAGACAAGGAAAGAAAAAACAAATTTAGTAAAAATAGAATTAAAAACACTAACTTAGGGGCCTTCCTGGTGGTGCAAGGGGTAAAAGTGCAGCACTATGAAGCTATCCACAAGCACTGCAACATGAGTCATTAGCTGGCCAGGAAGTTGACCCACATGGCACAGCAGAACTCTCCTGTATTGCCTGCTGCTCCCCTCAGCAGAGTATTTCAGTCAATCTCCCTGCTCCGTTCCCTATTCTGTCTCTGGTGAATCCTCTCACTCTCCATCCCTCTACCCTATCCCCCCAGTCCTTATATGCATAAATAAATAAATCTTTAAAAAAATAAAAATAAAAACACCAACTTAGGTGTAACTACAAAAATTAAAAAAGAAGCCAAAAGACTAGAATGTGAGTTCTGCCTCCTTCTAGACTCTTTCACTGCAATATGATCTGCTCTCCAGGCCTGAGTCTTGGAGTAAGTCAGCTGCATCATGTTGACTGCTGTGTCTTGACAGCACATCATCCTCATTTGCTAAATTGGGATGTATTTTCTGTCTCTGGTGAACCCTCTCACCCCCATACCCCGCACCTCTGGCCTGTACCCCAGTTCTGTATGCATAAATAAATAAATCTTTTAAAATTTTTTTGAAAAAATGTTCAAAACATTAAAAAAACTGGGATGACTTTAAAAGAAAACCTTAAAAATTTTAAGTTTTTCCTTCAAGAAGTGGAGCCTCTACCCAATTATGGGTTGTACTTACTATCTTGCTTCTAGCAGACATGACTTCAGAGATTAGTCATAAAAGGTACTAAAGCCTTTCCTCTCCCATCACTCCCTCTGATGGGGACATGTCATAAGGACATGCAAGGCAGAGTAAAGACAACAAAGGCATCTTGCCATACTCAAGTGAGTGGTCATCTGAAGATGACCACTGACAAAACAGCCTGACTGCAACCCAAGGAGACCTGAACCCCTAAATACCTGACTAAATGGCTCCTGATTTCCTGACCCTCTTGAGCTGTGAGATTACATGTTTATTGATTTATTAAACTTCAAACAGGTAACTAAAAAACATCAACTTAAATGAATTTTGTACCAGTATTCTTGAGAAGTGTCTTAGGTTCATAGATGACCTAGCTTCTGGCCCTGGCTGCACTCAAATACCAGCATGGAAGTAAAGAAAAGTTTTCTGGGCCTCAATTTCTCAAATGACAATGTCAGTTCTATTACTGATTTCCAAAATTGTATTCTGAACAAAGGTATGTCGAAAATTTTTTTTCTATGATCAAAGATTAAACATGCTTAAGGATTTCTGAGTTAAAAAAACAAGGTGTCTTTGCCCATTTCGCCTCCACTGCCACCATGGCACCCATATAAAAAAAAAAAAAAAAAACCTGCAGCAAAGGAAAGTGAAAATAAAAAGCGGATTTGGAAGTTCACTGTCAGCTGCACCCAGGCTGCAGAAGATGGAGTCACAAATGTTGCTGTGGGTTATACAAGACAGTTATCAGTGTGAATGGAAAAGCTGGGATTCCTGGTGAAAAGGTTGTAACCTCTGAATAGTGTAGGGGCAAAACTACTGTAACTTCTTAGGTATCACCTCTCAAAGGGTATTTCCAATAGTCACCAAAAAGGGGTTGAGTTATCAAACTATGGAATATCTAAATAATGAAATAGTACGTAGCCATCAAGAATGTGAAAGTAAATTTACTAAAATGGAAAGATCTCAATTAAACACTTGCAACAAAATAGGCCATGAAGCAGTACGATTTAATTTTTATAAATCAAGTATGGGCACACTTGAATATAGGTGCGTGGATACAGAAAAGCATGGGGAGGCCACACCAAAAGGGATTCCAGAAAGTGCTATCTCAATATGGGAAGACATCCAAGAAAGGAGTAATTGCTTCAACTGACAAAACGAGGCTCAGAACACTACTTACATCAACTGCAGCATCCTCATCATCTGAATCTTGTAGACCAAGAGCTGCTTTTTGTAACTTCTTCCTCTCATTAGCCAAGGCTTGTTCTGTCTCATCAAACTTGAATCCCTTACCAGAGAATCCACTACTCTTTTTAATTATTTTCCCTTCCTTTAAAGGAAAAAAAAAAAAAGTGTATTTCATTGTAAAAATGTTAATGTCCAGAGTTTTATGGCAATTAAATATTTTCTAAGGTGGTATATGCCAATATTAAAAAAAAAAAAACACTTCATTTAGCATATTACAAAAAATAAGAATCCCACACAGGTTACACAAAATATTTAGTTGAAACAAAAGGGAAAACTTTGTTTTTATGCTTTATCTCACTCTCTAAAAAGATAAATGAAAATATTTTAAAGATTTGTATTAAATATTCAAGGTTTAGAACACAATCACAAATTTGTAACAAAACAGGAGTTTAAAAACTCACAGCTTTCTGTTGATCTTTGAAATCACCCCAAAGTTTCTCTAGATCAGGAGGCACTGAAGTCCCTGACAATTCAAGAGCTTTAATTATGTCACCAGCATAGCGAGCTTGATCTTCTGTGATAAAAGTATATGCATAACCCTAATGAATGACAGAAAGTAGAATTATTAGGTATTAACAAGATGACCTACTACTTTGATCACAAATAAGTTACTGTGTGAGCCATTGAATAAATCCTATTAAGACTGACTCCATTACTAAAGAATTTAAAAGACCCTAAGAATTTAAAAGACCCTGAGAGTCCTATGAAATGCTTTAATGGTTCAAAGGGCAATATCTAAGCTTAATGTTTACAAATAAAATAGGGGCCCTCCCTGGTGGTGCAAAATGTTAAAGCGCAGCACTATGAACCTGTACACAGCCACTGCAGCACGAGTTCAATCTCTGACCTGACCCACATGGCACAGGAGACCTCTCCTGACCAGCCCACTGCTCCCCTCAGCAGTGTATTTCAGTACATCTGCCTGTTCTGCTCCCCAGTCTGTCTCTGGTGAATCCTCTCCACACCTCTAGCCTGTACCCCAGCTCTTGTATCCATAAATGTCTCAAAAATACATAGATGAAAATAAAAAAATAAATTTTAAAACACACACTAATATTCTATTTCAGGAGTATCTAGTCACCAGGTTTCACCCATGGCCTTCATTTGTGTCACCCATGAGCCAAAAATGGTATTACATTTTCCCCCCTTTTTTTGGTGTTACAGTTTTAAAAAGCTTCTGCACATATGTGCGCACACACAAGAACATACACATATGTGACACAGACTGTATATGGTCCAAAAAACATTACAATTTTTGATGCCTGGCCCTTTACTCAAAGCTCCCAAATCCACAAAACTCAAGTTAAAAGAAGAAATGTCATTACTACTACAAAGGAACTTCTATGTGACTCAACTTTTCCCATCAACTAAATGCATAAGTTGTGAGATGCAAAGAGATGATCTATGTAAAATACCTGGCACTTAGTAAGTACTCCATAAACATGACCTATTATTAATACTATTATTGCTTCAGTTTGCAGAAATGCCCATGGTTGGAATACATCACCATCAATGCTTCCTGTAACAGAATATTCTGGTGCCTTTAAAATGAATGAGTTAGGGGCCTTCCTGGTGGCCTAGGTTAAGTCTCAGTGCTATCATCCCTACGGCCACAGTTCACCCCTGGCCAGGGAGCAAATCCAAATATGATGCAGCAGATCTCTCCTGTCTTTCCCACTGTTCCCCTCAGCAGATCTGCATGTTCTGCTTCCCAGTCTGTCTCCGGTGAACCCTCCTAACACCTCCCCCTCCAACCATTATTCCACTCAAAAATTAAAAAAAAAAAAAAAGAGTTAAACCTACCAATACTTACCAAAATACAGGTGAGTCAAATCAGTAATGTACATGGAGGAAAGGTAGGGAAACAAAGGTGGCAATGTTGGGGTTAGAGGAAAAGGTGATAGGTGTGACTATTAATGTTTTATAACCCCAAACTAACAAAATCAAATATAACTCGTACTCTGAGGATTTCCAAAAATACCCCCCCATAAGTCGTATTAACAACTCCTTGAACAAATACTTCTATTTCAATGTAACAGAAATCAACATTAAAAAATTCTCTTTACTTTGTTGCCTGCTCTTCCAGTCCGTCCTGCTCTGTGCACATAATCCTCATAATGGTTGGGACAGCTGTAATTTACTACAAGAATCAAATGTTTCACATCTAGACCTCGGGCAGCAACAGAGGTGGCAACGAGAAGTTTGCAGGTCCCGTTCTTAAAGTCATTTATGATGCTATCTCTGTCATACTGATCAATGCCTGCAAGCAAATTGAAGAAAAAATTGTAAAACCATTATGTTCCAATTGTTTTCCATTTCTTGTGAATTAAGAAAATCCAACTTACACTGATCACATATTCAATATCTATAATAAAAAACCACATTCCTTATGCTATAATATCCAGGTATCTTCTAAAAAACTACACTTTCACTCATGAGAGAATAAACATGAAAAAAGCAAATAAAGTACTGGGGTTACTATGGAAATAGTCCGACCTCATGAATCCCTGAAGGTCTAAGAGACAATTCTTCAAAAACCAAAACTGAGTCCACCCTGGTGGTACAGCAATATGAGGCTGTCCGCAGTCACTGCAACTCAAGTTTGATTCCTGACCAGAGGATAACCCACATGGCATGGCCGACCTCTCCTGTCTCTCCTGCTGCTCCCCCTCAGTAGTATATTTCAGTTAATCTGTATATTCTGCGCCCCTCTCTATCTCTAGTGAATCCTCTCACCTCCTACCTCTGGCCTGTACCCAGGTCTTGTATGCATAAATAAATAAATCTTTTAAAAATATGTACAGACGGGCCCTCCCTGGTGGCACAGTGGGTTAAAGCACAGCACTGAGAAGCTAAAGCCACTTCCGCATGAGATTGATTCCCGCCTGCCCCGGAGGTGACCACATGGCGCGGCAGACCTCTCCTGACCCGCCCACTGCTCCCCTCAGCAGTGTACTTTGTTGATCTGCCTGTTCTGTTCCCCACTCTGTCTCTGGTGAAGCCTCTCACCGCCTGAGCCTCAGGCCTGTACCCCAGTTCTGTATGCACAAATAAATAAATCTTTAAAAAAAAAATATGTACACACATATATATATAAGCCAATAGTCCTTCCTCCTGCCTTCCTGGTAGCCTTGGGTTTAATTAAGTCTTAGCTCTATCACTGTAACAGCCCTCCAGCAGCAAAACATACCAAGTTCGATCCCTTGCCAGGGAGCTGACCCACATGGAGCAACGAACCTCTCCTATTTCATCCGCTGCTCCCCTCAGCAGTATACTTCAGTGGATCTGACTGTTCTGCTCCCCACTCTGTCCTGGTGAATCCTCTCACTCCCCACACTGGCCTACATCCCAGTTCTTCCATACAGAAATAAGCAAAATAAATATCTCACAATAAGGGAATAATTCTTCCCCAAACCCCCCAAAAATACTCCTTCCTTGTGCCTACAACCCAACAAAAAAACCAAACATACCAACTAGAAAATGTCAAAGGCCAGGAATAGACATTTCTCCAAAGAAATACAAATGTTCAATAGGAACACAGAAACAAATTCAATGTAAGAAAATGAGTCTATCAGGAAATGAAAATCAAAACCACAATGATAACACCACTTCATGCTCACCAGCGTGCCTACTACAAAAGATGGAACATAGCCAAGTGAGGGGCCAGGATACGGATAAGCATGCAAAATGGTAGAACCTCAAAAAGTTCAATACAGACTTACTGCATGGCACAAAAATTAAACTTTCAAGTTTAGCATACCAAAAGAACTGAAAATGGGAGCTTAAGTAGACACTTTGACCGCAGTGTTTAAAATAACATTATTCACAATAGCCAAAAGGTAGAAATAGCTCTGTGTACACCACCAGATAAATAAAGAAAATGTGCTAATAACTACAATGGAGTAATTATCCTTAAAAAGGAAAGCAACTCTAAGACATAACAAAACATGGATAAATCTTGAGGACACTGTGCGAAGTGCAAAACACAGACAGAAAAAAACTCCACTAATGTTAAGTACCTAGAACAGGCAAATTGAAAAAAAAAAAAAAAAAAAACAGAAGGTAGAATACAGGTTGCCAGACGTTAGGGGAAAAGTGAATGAAACTCTATTTCCTCAAAGGGTATATATAATTTCTGGCTAGGATGATGATCTGGACATTTAGTGGTGATGGTTACACAGCATTGTGAATATATTTACTGCCACTGAATTACATACTTAAACATCGTTAAGCTATATAACAAGTGTTAAAGATGAGAAGAATCCATTACACTATTGCTGAGAATGTAACTAGTATAGTCATTTTCTAAAGGAATCTGGCTTTACTTTAAACTAAAAATGTAAATAACAGTGTGACCCAGCAATTCAACTCTGTTTTGGTCCTCTATCCAAGTTAACATAGCCAACCACTCAAAACACAATGGCAGCACTGGCAGCACTGCTTACAAAAGCGAGGATGTAGAACCAAGTAAGTGACCACTGAGAAGGCTGGCTAAAGGCTACGTGGTTTATCTACATAATGGAAAGCTGTACAGCCTTGAGGAGGGATGAAACATTACCATTTACAACAAAATGGAAGGAGTTTGAGGAAATTATGTGAAGTAAATCAAGTCAGAATGACAAAGAGAAATAAGGTGCCATTTACAAAGCAGACAATTCAACAAAGCAAAATTACTTACAAACCCTAGCTGACACAAATAAACAAAGTGGGCTTTTGAGGCTAAGAAGGAAAGGAAGGGCTAAAGGGATAAAAGGGATGACTGGGGGGAAAAAAATCAGGTGAATAAAAAGTATGAAGTTAGAAACAATCGTTAAGGTGGGTGGGTCACATAAAAAGGAGTATAGTCGGCCCTCCCTGGTGGTACAATGGGTTAGGAAACAGCACTGCAAGCTAGCTACAACCACTTCGGTGTAAGTTCAATACTTGGTCTTGGAGGTGATCCACAAGGTGCAGCAGACCTCTCCTGTCTTGCCTACTTCTCCCCTCAGCAGTGTACTTCATCAGTCTGCCTGTTCTGTTCCTGTCTCTGGTGAATCCTCTCACTGCCCCTGCACGTCTGGTCTGTACCCCGGGTCTGTATGCATAAATGAATAAATCTTTAAAAAAAAAAGGGGGGGAGGGGTAATAGCCAAGGACAGAACTTCACCACTGAACTTCAGTGGTGAATTTAAAGTAAAATACAAACTTTGATCTATAAGGATGCAAACCTGAAACATACACTATATGCAAAGCATGTATTTTTTCAAGAAAAATTTTAACAAGTTAACCAAATAAATATCCTCAAAGGCCTTTTACTTTCCAAAGAGGACTGCAACAGTATGCGTTACCCACTAGGTCTTCTGTGTATGGAATGATACTCTCCCATCAAGAGGTGGAACCTGTACCTCCTTTCCCATGAGTCTAAGCTAGCTGAGTGACTATTTACCCACAGAAAGAATATGGTGGCAATGAAAGCTCTGCTAGATTCCAGTATTTTCCTTAACTGGCCCAGCAGCTTTTGGTTCTAGTCGTCCAGCCACGCAGTCTCATAAAAAGTCCCTGAGGACAAAGTCCAGGGCCTATGGCAGCAGTCTGACTGAGCCCTAACTCAAGAGCCAGTCCCAACATGGCAAGCACTTCAGTGAGGCAAACTGGAAGGAGATCCTCAGTCCCAACAGAGCCACCCTAACAGAGCATGACACAGAGATGAGATGCACATGCAGAGCACTACACAAATTACACATTCACAAGCAAATGGCTACTGCCAATACATTTTAGAGTGTTTCGTTACAAAGCCACAGACTGCCAGAAAACTTGGTTTATAAGGATAACTCAAACTGCCTCTGTCCCACATGCTTTACTCTATATAGGGAGAGTTAAATATACACATATATTTAAGAGCGAAGATGTTAAACACAATTAAAGTGTTACTTGCATAATCTCTTAAATTGGGCTTAAGATAATGCTTACAAGCACATGCTCCTGTGAATCAAAACTGAGGTAGACAACACAAACTTATATATTATACAGAACAAAGTAAATACTATCATTCAGGAAAAGGGTAAGTGCTTGGCAAGTTAAGTACTTAAAGACAGTTCTTATGTGGATGAAATTAAACATCACCTCCATGAAGAGACATGCAAGGATAAGATGCTCTCATTAAATCCTTCAGAAGACCGTCAGCATGTTCTTGCTTATCCACAAATATAATGACAGATCCTGATTCCTGGTAATGGCCTAGAAGCTCCAGTAACTTCAAGAATTTTTTTTCTTCTTCAATCACAATCTGAAGACACCAAATTGCAGCAAGTTAATGAAGTGAAAACACAAATACCTTTCTTGACAGAAATATTCATTTTATTTGTGACAGTTAAGTCACATCTTGCTCTATCTGTAAGGAACCAAGATGAAGGGCTATGAAATAGTGATTTTTAAAGTGCTGATTTTAAATCAATGAGATGAAAAAAGGTGTGACTTTCAGAGAATAAGAGACTTGCAAATGTGTACAAGTGATCTCTCAGCCTCTTAGCCTTACGTTCTACTAACCAAAGAACAAGATGGATATGTGACCTTTCTCTTTATGGAACCCACCACTTCTGGTGGGAAGAATTAAAAAGTGCATTTTAAACACAGCTCCATGGACTAGATGGTATATCTGATAAAACATTTAGGCTGCAACTGATGTGTACTACTTAATTTTAGAAATTATCTGCCTTTATCACAAAGAATCTGAAAAGAATCATACACAATGCCAAAATATCCAGAGAATTGGATATTGTACCCACCACTTGTTGTTCTACATCGGAGCAAACCACACTCCTGCCTCCAACCTGAACTTCAATGGGTTTACTGAGGATTCTCCGAGCCAAAGCCTCCATAGCTCTGGGGAAAGTAGCTGAAAACATAACTGTCTGTCGATCAGGACGGACATTATCCACAATCCGCATGACCTGAGAAAAGTTCAAATAAATACGGTCAGTGTCGCCTCCAAAACATAAAATGCTAAAAGGCACAGAAGAAACTTTTTAGAACTATTCTCAAAAAAGTCTAATGAGACTTTTAAATCTGCTACTTCAAAATATTAGAACTGATTTTACCCTATGATTTGCACTTCTCACAGTTTTCCCCTTTCAGGAAAAGGCCACTCCAGCCATCCACATGTTTGAGTCCAAAATTTAGGAGCCATACTTGACTCTCATTCACTGGCCTTACCTCAAACTAAAAATGGAACCAATGGAGTAAAAGTCAGTAGTCCCAATTTTCAAAGTACATCAAAAAGGCAAACATTTTCCATCAGCATCACAGCAGTTTCCCTGCACTGATTGCACATGTATTCTCTGAACAACCTTTTGCACCAGGCATTATTTTTCTCATGCAAGAAATATGCAATAAAAATAGGCAAAATATTCTGCAACATGGAGTTTATAATATAAAGAGGATAAAAAGGTAAATAGACTGTTATGTCCGTGATGGTAAGAGGTAAATGAAGAATCAAAACAAGTGAACATACTGCTGTGGGAAGTAGGATAGAGCTATCAACTGATTTGATGCTTACAGAGAGTTGGTGTAATCAAGAAGTCTTAGGTTTTTTTGTGGTGACTACTGTAAAGAAGAGTAAAAAGGACATAATGAAAAAGACTTGGTGATTTTAAGAAGGTATGTGGTGAGTGGTTGGAAACTCAGAAAGATGAAGCTTTTACCTGGAGTAGACTAGTTTCAATCCCACTAACGAAGACGTGAAGTCTATATGAAAGGGATATCTTACCCCAAGGTACTTGGAAATCCTAGTCTCCGTTGCTCTCTAACTATTGCCAGCCTCTGTGGCATGAGTTCGATATCTAGCCAGGGAGGTGACCCACATGGTGCAGCAGACCTCCCAGCAGACCTCTCCTGTCTTGCCTGCTGCTCCCCTCAGCAGTGTATTTCAGTACATCAACCTATTCTGGCCCCCACTCTGCTTCTGGTGAATCTTCTGACTCCCTACACCTCTGGCCTTATGATCAGTTCTATAATGATTAAATAAATAAAAGGAAATCTTTAAAATAGAAATTTTAAAAAAGACACAAATTCATTTGCAGGACAAGAACTATAAAATACAAAAACTTGAGATTCTATAAGAATAATCTAATTCTGGGCCTCCCTGTTGGCACAAGGGGTAAAGTCTCAGCTATCTGTAGCCACTGCAGCATGAGTTCAATCCCTGGCTAGGGAGCTGACCCAGATAGCACAGCAAACCTCTCCTGCCTCACCTACTGCTTTCCTAAGCAGTGTATTTCAATCAATCTGCCTGTTCTGTTTCCCACTCTGTCTCTGGTGAAATCTCTCCCCTCTTGTACCTTGGTCTCATCCCAGCTCTTGCAGGCATAAATAAATATATCTTAAAAAATAATAATAATAATCTAATTCTAATTTTACCAATGATGGTTTAGTTGGCTAAGGAAAGTCTGAGCAAAATACTTTGAATATAAAAATTCAAAACAGAAATATTTATTTCCTTTTATATGTCCCCAGCCCACCATATTACCACATAATAGGTGTGAAAATATTTGAGAATTTCAAAAGCCATTAGCATTTCACTTTCATGGCAGTTTATTTTACAGTTCAGAGCACTAAGACATTTAGAATTACCTGTGGTTCGAAACCCATGTCAAACATTCTGTCTGCTTCATCTAAAACAACGTATGTCACTCTTCGGAGATTTGTGACTCGACCTAAAATGAGGGAAAAAATAAAGACAAAAAGAAAACTAAAAATCAGTCACAATTCATTTTATGACTACTAAGAACTTTAAAAAACTGTAAAGGGAACTAAAATGCCTGACTTAACCAGAGGGGTAAGTTAGGTATCTTTAAACAGTGAAAAGAAATTTTGGTCTACAATGTCTTAATCTAATGGCAAATACTTTCTGACATGGGTATATGAGGCCCTTTATTTTGTCAAACTCGTCTCTTGCATACCATCATAGGGCCTGAAGAACCTGTAAAATTCAGAAAACAGCCCTCTCCAAAACACATCATAAAACTAAGACTGAGATGAAGCATCGAGCCACATCAGCCATTATCTGACAGCATCACCTAGGAAAAAACATATTAGAGATTACAGCGTATGTGTGGAAAGCAAGCTCCAGAGCTAACTATTTAAGATGTAGAAAACTTCCCTTTATGTATTTTATAGCCTACTTTCATATAGTTAGAAGTTTATAGTGGGCATTAATCACAACATACATAAGCTTTAAACACCAAATTTGTTACATAAATATATATTCTTTTATACAAAGATACAAATCCAATTTTATTAAGTGCTCCCACTGGTCTAAATAAAAGCAACTGGTCTCTTAGCCATTGACAGCTAATAAGTACACACAGGAATTCTTTCCTAAAGGATTAACAAGTATTTCTATCAATTGCTGAATCAACCACCTGGCAAACCATGTATAAAAAAGTTATTAAATATAAAACAAAAAGATAAGGGAAAAAAGTAAAATTAATCAAGATGAATTCAGATGACTTAAATCAATGCAGCGTTGAGAAAAAACAAGGAATTATTTAATCAGCATTCAGTCCAAATCTTTTCATATGCTGTATAAGCACAATGACATCAATTTTGATGTCACTTTGTCAACTTCATGGGCAATTAGAATTAAATGTATATAGAAATTAGAGCAGAATTCTTCAGAAACATGCATTACTCACAGTTTTTAATACTCTATTATGTATATGAGTGCTACAATGATAATCTTCCAAAGCATTTTCTTCATAAAGTAGAAATGCACCAAAATATATGCTTTGTGATATTTAAGTATTCCATATTAACATTTGCAGCCCCAATTAGTTTTGCAAGGTTGGGAACAGCATTAAATTACCTACCTTTGATGGTTTAAGTCTCGGAAGCCCAGTTCTATTTATCTTGAAGGGCCTTTCTCCACAGAAGTTAAATAATGTCAACAGTTTAGTAACAGTTTTGATAGGGAATAATTTAACAAAGCACAACATTTGAGCTTAAAAAGCATGCAATATTTACAAAAGATAAAATTTCTTGAAGTTGCAATATCTTAATTTATCCAGTATTGTAAGAAAATACTATTTCAAATGGATAAAAATTTTTACCAAAAAAAAAAAAAAACGTCTCCCACCTGTTAAAAGCAAAGCAAGGCCAAAATTGAATTAAGACTCCATGATAAGAGCTAAAAAGATAGCTGGAATTAGTTCTGAAAAGTATTAAATTACAAAGTATTTTCAATGCTTACAAAAATGAGCTTGTTACAATACAAATTTTAAGATATTACAGCTTTAAGATGAAAAGCAGAAACCCTCTCGTGGTTTCGTGTATCTGCTTTGACTTAACAAAAATGTACAGAAATCAAAAAGGAAAAAAGAGAACAAAAATATACCTCTGACTTACCACTGTTAGCAGCTAACATGTCAATCATTCGACCAGGTGTGCAAACAATAATTTCAGCACCTCTTTTCAGCTCAGCAATCTAATAAAACAAAGATGAAATTTTACAGTCTATTTATCACTAATGCTTATTTAAATAGATTGAAAATATTGCCCTTGGTCTAAGGATAGCTACAAGAGTAAGACAGAGGGTTCATTACAAGACTCTAAAATTTCCTGCTCAATTCTTTAGAGTGCTGAAGCACCACTAAAGGGACAGGTGGCAGCAACATGATCACACTACACTTTAACCTAGAAATAAAGAAAATCACAAAATTTTACCAATTTTATTTTGGCATAACCCACCAAAAACAAGAAGGAAACAGTAGAGAGCAGTAGATAAAGTGGTTGTATAGATAGCATTGTTCACATTGAGAGTTGATTCTATTAGCAAATCATGAAATAAGCAGGTCACAACCAGTATTTTTAAACTGAAATAGAAAGGAAATAACAGAATGCACTAGCCAACATAAAGCTAGTGTTCAACATTTTTATAAATATAAGTGCAGCATGCACCAAGTGATTTTCAATTTCTAACTAGACGCTGTGTTCAGAAAAAAAAACTGCAAAGATAAACTTAGAAAATTAACTTCAACCGTTTAAAAGACTAGAATACATGCCTAGAGGTTAAGTCTCAGCACTATCACCTCTATGGCCTGAGTTCAATCACTAACCTAGGAGCTGATCCATGTGGTACAGCAAACCTCTCCTCCTTTCTTGCCCATTACTCCCCTAAGTAAATATTGTCCATTCTGCTCCCCACTCTGCCTCTGTTGAATCCTCTTACCTCCCACAACTCTAGCCTACACCCCAGTTCTCCCATGCAAAAATAAGAGAAAATGGCTTAGGATACAAAAAGCAAAGATTCCTATGGGTCCCTACAACATTAACTCTCAGAAGGTTTTTATGATTATGTCAACTCAGAAAAATGCCCCTTAATTCATCCCATTTTTCTAGATTAGCTTAATAAAGACTAAGAATTTCTGCAGAAAAGAAACTTAACTTTGTATATTCCACTTCCAAACTTATTTGATCATAAGGCCCACATATTTTACCTTTTAATTAAAACTAAGTATCTAATGATAATCATTATTTAGAAAACACTTGTAGAAATGCCAGGCAAAAGAATGAATGAAGGTATGTTTAAATAATTTATGCTAAAGTCATTGAAGAATGTTGATGAAAGTCAGATATTGATGCATCCCATTCATGGCAACCTTTTAAAGATGTCAGCATAGAGAAAAGAAATGCTGTCCCACAAGTCACAAGACCCAGGTGCTAAGACAAACTGTGGTACACTAAGCTAAAATGGTGTCATTTAGTGTCAACCTTTCTGAATATTTCTTTATCTATAAAATGGGGGGGCATGGTGTGTGTGAAATGTGCCTTCCTTGAGCATGGAAAAAGAAACAGGAAGAGGCAACCTAAGGTAAAAACTACTCAAAAATTGTAAAATAATATCATTCTGACCATATGATTACACGTTGTTATTAAAGATTTTTAGAAGCAATCATTATTAAGACTCTGAAACAGGAATCACTTTTTACTGAATCATTCAACTGAAAAATGGGGAAAAAAAAAGAAAGAAAAGAATGGAAAAACTGATGTTCAACTACCTGCTCACTGATTCCTGTTCCACCATAAACACAGACCACTCGAAGTCCCAAGGTCTTGGAAAACTTCTTACATTCTTTGGTAATCTGTAAAGCCAGTTCTCGAGTTGGAGTCATGATGACAGCTGAAAAGATAAATATGTCAAAAGCCTAACCACCAAAAATTCTTGAGGCTTTGCTTTAAAGTATTAAATTTAACCTCTGCAATAAAGTTCAGATTCCTAAGTCTAATTTTGGTGTTGTTTTATGCCACCTCTGAAAATCCTATTTTTTTCCCGAACCTTTATATTAATAGATATTGTTATGAAGAATAATTTTAAGATTTTAAAAACATGCTATAGGGAGACAAATGAGTTAAATACCCTCAGGAAAATACTTTCTTTAAACAGAATGCATGTTGTTCTCAACTGCAAATCACAGAGCAAAGACAATCAAGTGACTCACTGCGTTGCAGAACCATACCTGGGCTTCCGGAAACAACCTTGATCTGAGGGGCACAGACAGAAGAGAAATAACACTGTGCCCTCCATTTCCAAGAGTGGAGCAGAGCAACTTTCCAAAACCCTACTCAAATTTTCAGAAGAGAGAGCTGCCAAATGAATCAAGAAATCTGAAAACCTAATCCTGAATAAAATGCTGGCACTATAGCCTTTTAAGGCAAAAAAATAAAAAATAAAAAGGAAAATGCATTTCCTTACAATCTTCTATGTTGAGTTTATAGATCCATTGATACTGGGCTAAGAACAAACCTCAACATAAATAGATAGATGCACGAGGAGACTACCTGCCGAGTCAGAGTTTAAAAATTGAGCTGTGCCAGGAGAGGCTGTTTTTGTACTTCTGAGATGTCACTCCAGAGCTCTGATGACTGTCACTCCACCTGCTGGTTAAGGGGAAATCAGCCCCACAGTGCCAAATTTATAAAGGAAATGTACATCAAGACATCTTTATTGTCATAATTAAGAACATTATAAACTATCAGGTCTTTCTGATAAAATGACAGCAAATAGTTTAAAGAACGGAATCGTACCTATTGGCCCCTCTCCTTCTTCCAATGACCTCTGATCCATGATGTGTCTGAACATAGGCAACAGAAATGCAATGGTCTTTCCACTTCCTGTCTTGGCAATACCAATCAAATCTCTTCCAGACATTATAGCAGGAATGGCTTGAGTTTGGATTGGGGTGGGCTTTTCATAGCCATGCCTTACAAAGAAAACCAAAGGAAGATTAGGTAAGGCTGATATATCAGACATCCCATAAGATTAAGGTCTTTCAAAATATGGCATCTCTATAAACATTATTTAGCAAAAAAGAATGGATCACTATACATGTATGAACCTAGAAAATAAGACCCTAGGTGAAGCCAAGACTACACTAGTATGATCCTATGTATATGAAATGCTCAGAATAGGTAAAACCATAGAGAGAGTACACTAGTCATGTGCCTGGGAGGACGACAAGGGACAACACTGACAATGACTACAGGTGTCTCTTGGGGTGAAAATGTTCCAAAGTTAGACTATGGAGATGATTACCCAACTCTACAGATACAATAAAAAACACTGAACTGTATGCTTTAAATCACTAATCACATAAATTGATATATGAAAATAAATTTTTTAAAAAATCACTAGTCACTTACTTTTTGAGAGAGTTTAAAATCTTCATGGAAATTCCACACTGGACCCAAGATTTAATTGGTTTTGGGCAACCTTTTCCCTTGACTGTGATGCCCTCCATTTCCAAACGAAATACATTTACCTCTATCAAAGAAAACTGAGATTAAAAACTCTTATATAATGCTTTTAGTGTCTATTACTTTTGAAGTGGGCATGTTAAAGAATCTCAAATTCTTATTTTAGTGTTACCAAAGTAACTCCATGTAAAACTTACAGGACAAAGCACTAAACAGCCCAGAGAGAGTTACAATTATCACTATTGTAATCAACTAAAGATGGTAAAAAATACTCCAGTATTTGTATTTTGGCTTCAAGTTGCAACAGGAATAAATAACAATGGTGAACAAGTAATACAACCACTTACTCTACAGCAGGAGATGCCCAGATTATCCTTATTCTACCAATGTCACCCAGATTCACATTGGTTCCTCACTCTCAAATATCAGAAATAAATGGCTAATAATATTTTATTTACTAAAGCACATAAAAATTATGTTCAACACTGAAAATCTAAACATGAGACAAATAATTTTTTTTTCACATTTTAAGTGTGTTCAAAAACATACTGACACAAAATCATACTCCTCACTGCTCTTGATCATTGCAGATGATGTTCCCACTCCCTACAATGACACATTTCAATATAGTTCCATTCTCATTTCTCCAAGTGAGACAAGCAAATTCCTCCTATGTTCCCAACAATTCACAGTCAATCTATATTGACCTTAGAAAAGTGAGTGTTAACTCTTCTGTTTCCAGAATAACCAAAAAGTAAGAAAAATTTACCTTCTTGAGACATTTTTGCTAATTCTGGAACTTCAACATAAAAGTTTTTCCTGAATGGTTCATATTCAATTTTTCCATGATCTACAGGCTCTAGAAGCTTTCTCTGTTTTGTCTGATAGCCTGTAAGGGCTGTCTGAAGATCAACTTCTTCCTCTTCTGAAGAATACTACAATTTTTTTAAAAAGGAGGTAAGGTGAAATTCATTACCATTTTCTCCTTATGGGAAGCAATATTCTGAGCTTTAAAAAACTTCTCTCATAGACGATATTCTTTGGTTTTTACCTTTTTGCTCTCTTAATTTTTAAAATTAGTTTCTTTTTTCCTGGTCCTTCTACAAAATTGTAACAAGTTAAAGCTAAAATAATAAAATAATTTTGACACAACTTTAATAAGTTTTGCTATAGTTCTCTCTACATATATCTTTACAATGCACAATAAAGTAATAGGAAGAAATTTTGTCCATCTCATCACTTCATTTCTTCTTTCCTTATTGCACATCTGAGATGAGTTGAGGTACAGGAGGGAGTCAAACAGTGACATAGAACAAGAGGTCAAAGATGTCAGAATGTTCTACCAACTGTATATTTAGCTATAGTATTGTTCAGAATAGTAAGACTTCCTCTTAATAGTAGCTTAATAAAAGCATGTCTCTATCAATGCTTTCTAATAATTGATTCTAAGACAATACCAAGAACAAGTCAAGCATTAATGAGAATTACCTCCATGGCATCCTGATCATTCTCCATGAGCTCACCTTTCTTCTTATCTGAATCTATAACTGCTTTTTTGGTAGTCACAACAGTGACCACTTTTGTGACTGTTGGTCCAGACTTCTAAAAACAAAAAATTTAAATATTTTGCAAAATTGAAAAAAAAAACTGAAGCAGAACTGAAGAAAACTGAAACACAATAATTGCTGTAAGTTAGATTGTGACAACTTATGAAAAAAATTTCTATAAATATTAAAATGTAATACAATCATATTTTGTAATGTATTAATGGAGCTTAACACATTTTTATATAACATTAGATAATGCAATTTATTTTCAAATATTGGTAAATGGTACTCTTCCTTCACTCAACAATACAGGAGTTTAGAATGTTTTAGGAGTTTAGAATGACTCAATGAACAAAAGGTAAAGGTCATAGCTCTTGGGAGCTTTTATTTTTATAAAGGACAAAAAATAAATATGATAAAATTTTCAAAATTTGTTTGAAAAGTAATACTATATGAAAAGAAAAATAGGCTAGGAAGGAGGGAATTAAGAGTATGAGAGATGAGGCCCTCCCTGGTGGCGCAGCGGGTTAAAGCACAGCACTAAGAAACTAAAGCCACTTCCTTATGAGTTCGATCCCCGCCTGCCCTGGAGGTGACCACATGGCGAGGCAGACCTCTCCTGACCCGCCCGCTGCTCCCCTCAGCAGTGTATTTCGTCGATCTGCCTTTTCTGCTCCCCACTCTGTCTCTGGTGAATCCTCTCACCCTCTGCATCTCTGGCCTGTACCCCAGTTCTGTACGAATAAATAAATAAATCTTTAAAAAAAAAAAAAAAGAGTATGAGAGATGAAAGTAATGAGAAAATCTGGAAAGAGGAATTATTGATAAAACAGCCAGCAAAGGTAGTGAGCAGATGATGATGGCATCGAAGTAATTTATAACTAAAAAGCACGAGCATCTATAGTACTCAGATGTGGGAAAGAAACAAAAACACTAACTTTTAAAGTTATACAGTTTGGCAGGCTAATACAAAAAATGAATTCAAGTTATCCAACTAGTAACATAGATCTTTAAAAACAATAAGAAAAATCCATACCTTTTCATTCCCTCCACCACCTTTAACACTTCTCATGTTAAACTTTTTTACTTCCTCTTTCACTTCTTCCATGTAAGCATCTAATGGATCTAACTCTTCACCCTCGATTTCATTTCCTTCTTTTTCGGCTTCTGCAGGATCATCTTCATCATCTAAACATCAGAATACGAATTCTTTATACATGTGTTTTTAAAAAAAAAATCAGACCACACTTAACCATTCTAACTTTTCATCTCATTACCCAGATACATCCCTGTGTAATTACACAGTGAAAATAAACTGCTCACACCTAGAATTTGTGACATCAACTAAGTATTGAGTAATAATAAAATGATAAAATTACAGGTCATGAGAAGAGGCAAAAAGATTAATGATGCAAAAAAAATAATCTCCCACATTAAATTTTCCAATTGTACTAGAAGCAGAACTAAAAATTTTCTCTGCTTAATAATGTTCAGTTACCATAAAAAAAAAATGTTCAGTTACCAATTACCTCTTTAAATTACAAAAGAAATAAAAAACAGCATATAATACTTAAAATAATCTAGCCTTATTTAAACACTCATTTACTTATTTAAACTACTATCTAGACGTTCAGAAATGGAGTAAAATTTCATTTTCCTATAAAACTTCACCTTTCTGCACAACTGAAATTCCAAAAAATCAAAATTATGAAAATCCAGAGGAACCTGAAAACATGACTAAATTACCTTCATTACAAAAATTCTTATAAAAAAAAATTTAAAGACCTGTTTACTCACTGCACCCTACTACTCAACACTCCACTCTAAAGTACAGTGATTTTTTTCTGATTACTATTCTAGCAATTTCATTTTTTAAAAAGATTTATTTACTTTTATGCATACAGGGGTACAGGGCCCTCCCTGGTGGTACAACAGATTAGGACTCAGCACTGCAAGCCAGCAGCAGCTGCTTCAGTGAGAGTTCCCCAGCCCCAAAGGTGACCCACACGGCACAACAGACCTCTCCTTTCTCACCCGCTGCTCCCCTCAGCAGTGTACTTTGTTGATCTGAGACTGCTCTGCTCCCCACTCAGTCTTAGGTGAATCCTCTCACTGCCCCTGTATCTCTGGCCTGTATCTAGTTCTGTATGCATAAATAAATAAATCTTAAAAATAAAAGAACTGGGGTACAAGCCAGAAATGCAGGAGAGTGAGATGATTCACCAGAAACAGTGCAGAGCAGAACAGGCAGATCTACTGAAATACACTGTGGAGGAGAGCAGTGAGCAGGTCAGGAGAGGTCTGCTGCACCATGTGGGTCACCTCCCTGGCCAGGGATCAAACTCCTACTGCAATGGCTGCAGATAGCTTCATAGTGCTGTGCTTTAACCCTGGTAGGAGGCCCCACAAAATGGTTAATATGATGTTATGTCTTTCTACAACAAAAGACAATTTAAAAAATCTCAATATAAACTATTACTCATAGTTCTAGAATGTTCTACCTAAATTGTTCTTTAAGCTGTAAATCTAAGAAATAAAAATACCATCATCATCTTCTAAACTCCATTTTTTCCCTTGTTTCATCTCTTCAATTTCTTTTTTCAGTTCCCCTATGTTTTCCATGGCCTTTTTGCGCTGCTCTTCTCGCCATTTTTCTACTCTTTCTTTTCGTTTTCTCATTTCCTCTTCTAATTTATTCTGGTCAAAGTTCTTAGGGAAAAAAGAGAGAAAACAAGGATTAACAATTTTACTCCAGGTAACACTCCACGTAAGTCTCCAGAGTATAGAAAGGGAACAAACTCCTAGATTTAGACCATTTTTAGTAAATCGTATATGCTTTTAATATTAAATATGCAAGCAAACTGAAATTACAGAAAAAAGCACCTGCAACTAAGAAAGCTAGAAGACAGACTTCAAACACCATACCTTAACCTGATTTTAGTTTATAAGCAACATGTACACATGAAGGCAATTTCTTCCTGAAAGTAGAAACTAGCTTAATGATCAAGCATATTTTCCCAGCTAGACTGAATTTTTAATCCTCTTAACTTCTCCATATGACCTCTATAAACAGTCATTTTCTGTTACAAATTAGTAAGTAAATGAAATCTTTTGTTCAACAGGATTATGAAGTTTTGTTTTTCTCAATCTTTAAGTCTAAATTTCCTGGAAAGTCATTTTAAAGACTTATTAAAATTATTAGTACTCTCAAGAAGAGAAAACAAAATCACTTTCACAAAGTCATAATTTTAAAAATTAAGCATTAGAGAAATCACAAAATTACATAGACTGCTATTATCACAACGCATATAACTATACAAGTAAAAAGCAATTAACAAAATTATATAATTTATTATGGCGATGGTGTCTTAGGCACCTAAGATCTATTTCTTACATTGAAGGAATGTACAGATAACTATTTCTTACATTGAAAATATTTTGTAGTATGGCTATATTTGTATTGTTAATTTAAAAATATTGGTCCTAAATTTTTATAATTTGTAATAAATCCATCTTCTGTAAAAATGAGTCCCACAAAGTTTATCTTTTTCCCTCAAGGTCACCAGTGATTTAACAGAATAAACCAGACCTGCCTATTTCCTGTGTTGTATCCTTTCAACTTACCCTGCCCAGCTAGCAGGTGCTTGAAAAAGAAAAAGAACCCTTAAAAAACAAGCTTAAAAGAATAAAACAAGAAATGAAGCTATACTATAGACTAGAATGAGTTTTTAAAACAATGCCTTCCTGGTAGCATGCGACTTAAGTCTCAATGCTATCATGCCATCACTGCTGCTCTCCTGTCTCCCCACTGCTCCTCTGGGCAGTACATTTCAATGGATCCACCTGTTCTGCTCACCACTCTGTCTCAGGTGAATCCTCTCACCCCTGCACCTCTAACCTATACCCCAATTTTTCTATTTACAAATAATAGGAATACACAGTTGAAAGAAAACTGCAAATAGCATATAAACTTAAGAATACAGTATTATTGATATTATATTCGCAGCATTTAAATATTCACTTGTATTAGAGACTGTCACTCAAAATAAGATTGGGGGCCCTCCCTGGCGGTGCAACAGGTTAAAGTGTAGCACTATGAAGCTATCTCAGCCACTAAAACACAAGTTTGATTCCCAGCCAGGGAGGTAACGCACATGGCACAGCAGACATTTCCTGACCTCCCCACTGCTCCCCACAGCAGTGTACTTCATCAATCTGCCTGCTCTACTTCCCACTCTGTCTCTGGTGAATCCTCTCACACTATGGCACCTCTGGCCTGTACCCCAGTTCTGAATGCATAATTTAAAAAAATCTTAAAAAAAAAATTGGTAAAAATTAAAATAAAAAAACTTAAATTTAAAGCTACCATGTTTGCAAGGATGTGAGGAAATATGACTTTTCATGTTTAAGTTTTTAAGTCACAATTTATGTTGTTAGAGGGCAATCTGATGTTTTTATGAAAATGTTAAGTGCTTATACCCACTGACAAAAAGTTCACTGACACTGTATTCATAACAGACTGTGAACAAGGATCGATGTCTGAACAACTGCAAGCAGAAAATAACCTAAATATCTACAAGAGTGAGATCTACTTTTTTTCAACAGAACACTATTTTGTAGCCATTAAAAACCTTTCTATAACCTGCAGTTATAGAAAGATCTCCAATATGTAGCAAAAGAAAACATCAAGATATTTTACTTCTTAAGATGGATGATGAATATACTGCTGTTCACTATTCTTAAGAACTTACATATCAATAAAATAATTTATAATTAAAAGCAAAATATAAAACAAAAAGCAAGGTATAAAATACTACATATTCTATGATTGCATTTTATAAGTAAAAGTAGACAATAATTACATACATGAAGAAAGTATTCTCAGATATGACTCAGAAAACAAGATAAACTTTTTGGGACTCATTTTTACAGAAGATAGGTGAATACATTATATGTTAAAGATTTTTTTTCAAAAAAAAATTTTTTTTCCATAGGGACAAACATTTCCTGTTTATTTTATTAAGACCTATTCTCATTTGTTTAAAAATAACATTAAACAATTTGTCATTGCAGAAACAAGTTTGCTATTATACAACTATTTATTTATAAATTAATAAACATACGCCAGCATCTTTTTCTTTTTCATCCTCTTTGTCATCTTTGTCTTTTTTCTTTTCTTTAGAGCTTTCCCCGCTATCTGTTTTCTCTTTGGACCTGGATCTTCCAAAAGGAGAAATAAGCATCATCTATTCATGCTTGGAAACATTAATTTTAAAATGCTTTTACAGACTTGAGTTTACTTTTTTTAGGTATGAAAAGTCTAAGAGTTAACATTTTTATATTCCATTAATAAAAACCTTAGAAACAATGAAAAATTAGTCCCAATACTATTCAATATTTAGAAATTCACCTAAGAAAAATTGAACATATTGAAAAATATCATATAAAATCAACTTCAAAAATTTTTTCCCTCCTCCTACTTAAAAGAGCAGGTTTATGAGGGAAAAGGACAGAAGAGTAAAGGACTCTTGCATAGACACAAGAGGGCAGGAAGAGCTGCCCCAAAGGGAAGGTTCACTGAGAAAGGCCATGGGTGTAGGCAGGCAGACTTAAAGAGCAAGGTGCCTCTGATGAGGGAGGTCAGTAGAGAAGGCCTGGCAAGGTAGAGGTCACAGCAGGCAGGAGGCTGCTGTCCTGCAGATGGAGAGAGTAGGTGGAAAGCAGCACCTGCATAGTCACAGGTGGGCAGAAGACAGCTGCCACAATTGCAAAACTTGAGTAGGAAAAGTAAAGTGTATAAGTAGACCAAGACTTCAGCATTACCCAAGATCATTTATATATGTAATATTTAAATCCCAACAGGCTTGTACTTTGACCCTACTTAAGAAATCCTAAAATAATATTTAAATTTAATGTGACCAAATTAGATGTTTCCCTCCTTTATAATGTTTATTGAAGGCATTTTTCTAAGAAAAATCCTTCCTTAAAATCCTTCCAGGTTTGATAAAAGCTACTCAGAGATAAAGAAGATACTTTCCAGTACTACAAACCTCTAAAATTTTTCTATGACAGAGTGAGGGCAATAATAACATTACCTGTTTTCAGTTTTCTTGCTTTTATTACCAGGACTGGAGGAGCGGGATCGCCGGCCCCTGCTTCTACTCCTTGAGCGTCTCCTGTCTCGACTTCGAGATCTTCTGCGTTCTCGACTTCTGTCTCTCTCTCTACTTCTGGAACGTCTGAAAAAGAAACATTTTTAATTATTCTATGACCAAGCTGAGCTAACAGATCATGTCATGGTTCCCTCCCATGCTCAAAGAAGTGTCTTAATTATCATCATTAAAGGTAGCGATTTCAATTAGCTATCAGTGATAAAGTGAAAAAGAACAAAGTAAAATCAATTCTTACAAATGGTCAATGAAAATAATGAGGATATAGGGCCCACCCTGGTGGCACAACCAGTTAAAAGTGCAGCACTGTAAAGCTAGTTGCAGCCACTTCAGCGCAAGTTGGATCCCTGGCCAGGGAGGTGACCCACATGGCGCAAAGGACCTCACCTGTCTGACCCACTGCTCCCATGAGCAGTGTACTTCATCGATGTGCTACCTGCAGTCTCTGTGAATCCTCTCTCCACCCCTGCACCTCTGGCCTATTCTGTATGCATAAATAAATAAATAAATCTTTTTTTAAAAAAATGATATAATTTTAAAATGTTTATTAAAAACATGCTGGCCGAACATCTTCAACAAACTAGCAACAACAAATGTTGGCGAGGATGTGGAGAAAAAGGAACTCTCCTGCATTGCTGGTGGGAATGCAAACTAGTACAACCACTATGGAAAACTGTTTGGAGGTTCCTCAAACTGCTAAACATGGAGCTTCCCTATGACCCAGCAATCCCACTCCTAGGTATCTACCCAAAAGACACAAAAACACTGATTGAAAAAGATACTTGTACCCCCATGTTTATTGCTGTTTTATTTACAATTGGAAAAACATGGAAGCAGCCCAAATGCCCAAAAGTAGATGACTGGATTAAAAAGATGTGGTACATATACACAATGGAATATTACTCAGCAACCAAAAAAGAGAAACACATGTCTTTTGCAGCAACTTGGATGGAGCTGGAAAAAGATCATGCTTAGTGAGATAAGCCAGAAAGAGAAAAAAAAATACCGGATGGTTTCACTCATAGCAGGAGTATAATGGACCAGGTGGAAAATAACAAAAATAATGAACAACCATATACCAGAGACATTTTGTGGGGGTGGAGTGGGGAATGGGATCAAAAACGGGGTGGAGGGAGGGAAATGCACAGGATTATGGTGATGGCACATGGGTGACTTGGTGATGGGAAACCCGCAGGGATTACAATTGAGATGGAAAAAAAAAATGTACAAAATGATGTAAAAACATGCTGGCCGAAAAAAAAAAAAAAAAAAAGCTACCTAGTGCCTCCTTAATGGCCTAGGGGTTAAATCCCAGTACTACCACCACAAAGGCCCACCTACTCTGTCTCTGGTAAATCCTCTCATACTCCTGCTCCCACCCACAATGTCTGCCTGCACCCCAGTTCTACACAAAAATAAGTAAAATCTTAAAAAAATTAAGCAATTTTAAAAAACTATCTAAAATCTACAGCCTATAACAGAAAATCTAAATTTCACAGAAAGCCTAAACCTAAGTATAGGGATATGCAGTAAAGGGTCCTCGGACAGTCGTGGATGACAGTCTGGAAATAAGAATTTCCACCATGGTGTTGCTACTAACTACTGACCTAACATAGGGCAGAGTTCTGATACTCTGGGTTTCAGTTTCCTCATCTATAAAATATGGAGACTTCTCCAAAAAATCTCAGAATCCTCCTGTTCTAAAATCTCGTGATTCTTGGGCCTCCCTGGTGGTACAAGGAGTTAAGTCACTATGAAGCTATCAGCAGCCACTGTAGCACGTTTGATCCCCAGCCAGGGACATGACCCACATGGAGAAGGAAACTTCTTCTATCTCACCAGCTGCTCCTCTCAGCAGTGTTATTTCAGTCAATCCACCTGTTCTGCTCCCCACTCTGTCTCTGGTTAATCTTCTCACACACCCTACCTTCAGCCTACACCCCAGCTCTTATATGCATAAATAACTCTTTAAAAAAAACTGCGTGATTCCACTACCACATCAAAAAATCAAAGATCAAATATTAAATGACTAAGTGCTTGACTGACTTGTATGAAACTGATCTTGGGATCATGTAATAAGGAACTGAAAGAGCCACCACTATTCAGAATGTGATTCTCTGAGAATCAGATAACGTTTTCACAATCTCTCCTTCCAATGACTGAAAAAGATAAAAGTTCTGTGATCACTAAAATATATGGAGAACTGATGAAACTCAACAAAAATAAACAACCCCATCAAAATATGGGCAGTAGAGCTAAAAAGACACTTCTCCAAAGAGGAAATGCAGATGGCCAACAGGCATATGAAAAAATGTTCAACATCACTCG